GCACGGGCAGGTGCCTCCACCCAGCCCAGGTGGAGTCCGCCGAAGCTGCTCTCCAACGTGCAACTGCCTCACTCTTTCCCGGCAACTGTTCCAGAGCCCTGGGCTTCTGCCTTCGGAAACGTCACACGTGCATAGGACCTCTGCAGGGAAAGCCTCTGGACACTGGTCTCGAGAGGTTGGACTCAGAAGCGTCTTGATGTCCGGAATCTGGGCAAAATTCCGTGTGGAATTGATTTGGATTTTTAAAAATATTTAATTACTTGATCCAGTTCAGTGTGTGTGAAAAGCACGGATTTTTTTTTTTTTTTTTCAGGGACATCCTTTTTGTTACATATTGATTTATTGTTACTTTTCCTACGGGAACAAGGCTCTGCCACCCTCCCGGTCCTCCATGCCCCCCACGCCCCCCGCCTTCCCAGCCCCCGGCAGGGGCGGGGAGAGGCCCCCGAGCGCTCGCGGCCGCGGACCTGCCCCCGCCCCGGGACCGCTCGCCCGCCCCCGCGCCGCCCCCGCGCCGGGCCACCTGGGCTGTTCCTTTGTTCGGGACGCCTGTGCCGGGAGGCGCTTTTCGGCCCGCGGGGATCGCACGGCCCCTCTCCTGCCTTCTTAGCGCCCCCGAGGACGTGTAAGCATATAGGCTCGAGGAGAGAGGCTAAATTACGCCCCGGGGGACTTTTTAAGTGAAATCCTAAATTTCATTTAGCCCGCTCGTGGGCCACGCGCCGGCAAGGCCAGCGGAGGCCTCTGCGCGCCGGCTTTGTGCAGCCCCGGCCCCGGGAGCCCTGTCGCCGGACGGTCCTCCTGGGGCCGGTCCCGCCGCCCGCCCGCCCTCTGCCCCCACCGCCCCGCACCGTCTCCTCCCGCCCCGGCCCTTCCGGTCCCTCCCCGGCCGCCCCCGCCCCCGCCGCCTCCCTCCCCGCGGCGGGAGGAGAGTCGGTAATAAGAAACCAGTGCAGTGTCGGTGGGAGAGGGGGGAGAGCACCCCCGAGATACGCGGCGATGGAGAGAGAACTCGTTCTGGGTAAAGAGGGCCTCGAGTCACCAGGGAATTCCTGGATTGTCTCAGGCTGTCGTGTGCGATGTCCATCAGCCGTGCGCACACCATCTGCTCGGTATTATGCTCTCAGTTGCCAGGCTACCTGCTGTACGCAGTAACACTCGGCTGCCTGGCTCCCGGCCGCCGCGGAGCGCGCGGGCGGGCGGGGCGGGCGGGCCGCAGTCGTGATTAAGCCATCTGCACGCCGGGGCGGGGCGGGGCGCGGCGCGGCGGCGGGGCGCGAGCGCCGGGCCGACACCGCCATCTGCTGGGCCAGCGGGGGCACAGCAGCTGCGCCTTCTTCCCCCAGGGGGGCCGCCTGAAAAAGGCTCAAGCCCCGGGCGTCCATCCTCCAGCCAGTTCGCCTCCAAGCCCCGTCACCCCCGGCTCATCAGCCTTTCGTGATCCCCCCGCCCAGGAGCCAGCGGTCTTTGGCTCACCGCCAGCAGCCCTGGCCCCTCTCACCCAAACACTAGGCGTGTTCTTGAAAACACTTAGAGGAAGAAAGCTGCTCGGCGCACAGATTTATAAATAAACAGCTGGCTGCTCTCGGGAGATATTTTTACCACAGCTGTTTTTTGAAGTAGAAAACGGCCTCTTCGGGGGAGGTAGGGTGTGTTTTGCACCTCCTACCTCTCTCCAGCCCTCAGAAAATTGCTAAGATCTTTTCCCTGCCGGAGAGAAGATATGTAAAATAGCTTCATCGGTTTTGATTTTTCGCCCTCCCTTCATGTTACCGAAGAGGGAAAGGTGAAGAGGGAAAGGTTTGGGGAGTGATGAAGCTCTGTGTAATCACTGGGATTGCTACAGGAAGAGAGTGAATGGGGATTCTTGGTAGAAGGCAAGGGAGGTCATTGGGTGGGGGGTGGGGTAGAGAACAAGCCAGTAATTAAAAACTAAAAATACTACATCATTTGGCTTCAAGGCCTTACAGTTCTGGTGACAAAAGCTCTGCCTGGTTTTCTCTAACAGCACCCACAGTGTGTCCTTAGAAACAGGAACGATGTCATGAAGTCCTGCGGTTCGACAGGCTATTGCTCATTAAGCCTCTTAGAGTGGAGGTTAGAAGCCACCATGTAATATGAAACAGTTAATGGCCTCAGCCAGCTCAGTGTGTAAGGCGGGCCACTCGGTGCGTCTTCACGCTCTGGAATACACACCTGAGGCTGAGGCTGTATGTGTCAGCTACTGAATGCAGCAGAGCGGGTTGGGAGAGCCTTAAAGGTGTATCCACCTAGATCCATGGATGCTGCATTGAGAAGGCAATCCTTTAAAAATGCATACAGCCTTTCTGCCTCTGTGTCTTCAGGTCTTCAGTGAGAAACCTGAAGGCAAAACTTTTAGGAGGGAATCATTTGGAGAAATACATAATCCTGGGAAGTAGTAATAACTTAACTATTCATTTGAAAAAGCCCCCCCCCCCCCCCTGCTTTAAAAAAAAAAAATTTTTTTTAATTTATTTTTAGTGAGAGACAGAGAAAGAGGCAGCGGGGGTGGGGGGTAGAAAAACATTGATTTGTTGTTCCACTTACTTATGCATTCTTTGGTTGCTTCTTGTAAATGCCCTGGTCGGGAATCGAACCCGCAACCTTGGCATATCCAGATGATGCTCTAACCAACTATGCTACCCAACCAGGGCCCCCACTGTGCTTTTGAAGTATTTAGTTTGGCTGCAGGAAGACAGGGGCCAGCAGTCACTGCCACCAAGGTAAAGAGGCTGAGAAAGCAACAAGTCACTGCTTACCACTTCTGAGCGAGCGCCCCAGCTTCCCGGGCAGGTCACACCGGACAAGAATATCTCAAAGTGCACAAAAATAAACAGGGCCTGCCCAGACCAGCCCTCTCATAAAACCAAGCTGAAGAAAACTTTTATCTCCCCTTGGGTCTCATTTTCTTGCCAACTCTCTTCTCCTTATCAAAACTGGGAAATAAATATACTGAAATACACGGGGTGGGGGGGAGCCCCATATATCTTTATTTTTGCTGATTGGTTAACTATCCTTCTGTGTGAATTTGTTGTAAGTGTGAAGTCATTTAGCCATTTGTTTGTAAAGGTGGCAAGAAACAGCATTAGCCCACTGGAAGGAAGGGCTTGGAAGACAGGTAGCAGATATTGGGGGGTGGGGGGGGGCACATATCTTGGCCCTTGCAGGAGTCAGGTAAACTGGGAACATAAAGGTTCCTGGTATTTTTAGCATAAAGTCTTTTTAACATAAAAGTGCATAGCTCTCTACCTAATAATTATGTGCAGACAGAATACATACTGAAAGACAAAAATCTGTACTAACTCCAACAGTGACACTTGCATTCAAATAAAGAACATGGCACGTTTATGGGAGACATACTATATATTTGTCCACAGGCAGTTTTTAAGGCACGCTAGGCACCTGTAGCCTGGGAAAGGTCTATGCTAGTGGAAAGGGTATGAATTTAGACTCAAGATCTGTGTTCTCCTTCTGCTAGTTCTGTTTCTTCTACTTATTAACTGTGTGACCTGGGCTCCTGCACTAACTCACCAGAACTGCTTGGGTTCTTATTTCCCAGGTGAGAGGAGTAACAATGTTTTCTTTTGTTTTGTGGTGGTTTTGCCTGTTTTGTTTGGGTTGGCGGAGTACAGATTAATTACTTGAAACTTGAATGAACTGAAAGGAACGTTTCAGTGGAATGTCCAGACAACACTTGCCATTACCAGGTTGCTTGGTAGAATGAACAGGAAAGGAAGTGTCTGGAAACTGAATCTTCCCATCAGCTCTTTTTCCCTGGTCGTCTACACTATCTGCTGTTAGACTTCCCCACTGAGCACCACCTCCCGTAGTCACTCGTGCTGTGTGTAAGTAGGTCTCTACCACTTCACCTCCTATTTCTTAAGGATCAGTCCTTAAAAGTTGCCATCATTAGAATGACTGACACATAATTATAAAGACCCAATTCAACCCTCCACATTTAAATTGTCCCAGACATAGGAGACTCAATTCTAGTTTTGAAAATGTTGGGAGATTATGTATCTTTGGGCAGTATAACACCTTCCCACTTCACACCATCAATAATTCTTAGTAGCAGGATTTATTTTATTTTTTTTTTAACATTTATCAGAGCTTTCAAATGTTGCAATTACAGCCAACCCTTGGGCAACATGGGTTTGAACCGCACAGGTCCACTTATCCACAGGTTTTTTTCAGTAAATATACAGTTGTCCCTCTGTATCCCTGGATTTCTCATCTGCCCATTCAACCAACTGTGGATCAAAAACAGTATTTTCAGTCCGCAGTTGGGAATGTATGACTGTATGCACTGATCCACAGCATTTTATGTAAGGGACCTGAGCGGCCCCGATGTTGGTGTCCGTGAGAGGGCCTGGGACCAATTCCCCGTGCATTCTGAGGGACGATTGTAGTTAAGTTTGGGGGGGAGTCAAAAATTGTACATGGATTTTCAACTGCACAGGGGTCAGTGCTCCAAACCCCCCATTTTTCAAGGGTCATCTGTAATTAGAATTCCATCAAATCGCAGATCTGTCAACTAATAAATTCCAGCAGACTTCCGTGAATGTCTCATACTACCTAAGAGGTTCGTTTGGCCAGGTGGGCAGTAAGGATTAAGAGAGAAACTCGGGCTGTCTCCTTGGAGACTTAAGATAAGCCCAGCCTGAGAGCTTATTCCCTTCCCTTTGGAGAAACCCAGAATGTTGGCTGAAAACCTGGCTCCTGTCCTTTAGCCCGGGTCTCCTGAAACAGACTGGACTTGGCCTCAGATCCCCAGATCCATGCTCTATACTGTCCCCCTGGAGCCCCTCCAATGCCACTGTGTAAGACCACCCTTGAGGTCTACTGTATTGTTTGTATGGAAATATAATGTGCCACTCGGGACCCCTCAGGTCCACAGCAGGGCCTCTGCCCCAATCCCCTCCCCCCATGCTTCCCTTCAAATGTGCAGTCACTGAATCGGGCTCCTTCTGTCCTCCCAGGAGCAGCACCCAGTTGGGCTTCCCCGGACCACCGGCCCCATGCAGTCCTCTGTGCCCCCAGGCTCAGGCAGCATGGTCTCAGGCACCAGTCCTGCGGGTCCAGGCTTCCTGGGCAGCCAGCCCCAAGCGGCCATCATGAAGCAGATGCTCATTGATCAGCGGGCCCAGCTGATGGAGCAGCAGAAGCAACAGTTTCTGCGGGAGCAAAGGCAGCAGCAGCAGCAGCAACAGCAGCAGCAGATTCTGGCTGAGCAGGTAACAGGAGCCCGTGGCCCAATCCACTCATTCAGCCCCTGGCACCGTGGGGGGGTTTCAGTCCATGCTTTTTGTCAAGATGTTCACAGTCGAGCATTCTGCAGGATCACAGAAAAACCTGCAGAATTTAGCCCTTGCCAAGAGCGAGCCCTTTTCTTAGAATGGACTCGTTTGTTCTCAGAAGGCTTCCATCATCGATTTGAGGGCCCATCGCCAGAAACACGTCTTCCATTCAAGCCTGACTCCTTCGTGTTTCTGGTGCAGGGGTCGGGTAAGCAGCATGGGGGTGGGGGGGAGCTGGTTCACATTCTCCCTAAACTCGAATACTTCTAGCAATAGGAAGAAAAAAGAAAAATAATTCAGAGAACTTTGTCTCTTGGAAGAAAGTGTCAGGAGGAGGGATTGAGGAGAATTCTACAGAATCGGTCATGAACAATGGAACAGGAACAATAGCGGAATAATAGGGCCCATAGAAGCACCTGGAAACCTGAACTTGAGGTCACAGAAAGGGGACAGATTTAAGAAAATCCCCAACAGCTTTGAAAAGAGCTCGGGAAATCTTTAAGTTAGAGGAAGGCCTAATACGAAGCTTTGCCTTAGGCATCTCTGTCCACCCTCGCCCTGTAACCCCTCCAGCTTTGCAGGAAAGCCTTCCCCGCGGCCACCCCGTCTGTCTCAGGGTGGTTCTCTGGGGGGTGGGGGTTGTTTTGGAGCTGTCCATGCCTGATTTAGTATTAGCCCGTGAAAGGCCCGGGGCCTCTCTTAGATGGCCCCTGTGGCGTCTGTACAGGGCATCGCACTTATCATAGGAGGTGTGAGGTTGTCATCTAAAGCTCAAGGCCCAACAGAGCTCTGCCCTACTGTTACCCTTCTAGAACGTTCCTAACAGGTTCAGAATTGTGGAAATGTATCAAGCATCCTCCACCACCCACTGTGTGGGACACAGACACGTTGAGATCCCTACTAACCAAGAGCAGCAGTTCGAAGGAACACCAGTCACCCTGCAAGGAGAAAAACTGCACCGTTGAGCACTGTTCACTTAGGTTCCTTTTTTTTTTTTTTTTTTTTTTTTTGCTTTTGTTCCTGAGCAGCTGTGTAATTATCTCCCTTTTCAGCAAGGTCAGCCAGCCGCCTGGCGCTCGTGGACAAACAAACCTCTGTCCCTGTCACCCTGCGTCAGGTGTGACAAGGAGCCCTGCTGGTGTCCCAGGGGAAGCCAGGCTTTGTCCATCCTCTCCCCAGCCAACCCCAGCAAACTTCAGGTGCGCCTGATACTTTGAGGGATGGCTTTTGGTATGTGTGCTGGGACCAAGACACAGAGTCGTCAGGGTGACCAGGCAGAACTCGGCTGTGCCCGCCCAGGGGTGTGCCCGCTTGGTGAGGTCAGCCAGCCCTGGGAATGAGGAGGAGGCAGAAGAGTAGGAGGACCACCACAGGGCGCCCCCCACCGACTGGGGAAGGAGAGAGGGGAAAGTCTCTCCCAAGGACACGGACAGATACAAGGCTCCTTGGGAAAGGTGAGGAGATAAGGGAAAATGAGTATAATTCCTTGGTGACAATATGTACCAAGAGATAATGAGGGAGCCAAGGGAAGAACAACTTACTCTAGGTCAGAAAGTGTCCAATCCTTGGCATGTGGTTTCAGAAATATCACCTGACCTCTCTCCTCGTGTGCCAGTTTTTTTAAAATAATTTCCCAGCCTTCCTCGTATGACGCTTTTAAGAACCACACGGGATAATGTGTGTAAAAGTCTTTGGAAACTGCACAAGTGTATATGGAAACCTCTCACATGACCCTGGTGTCACAGAAGAGGGGCAGCACACAGGCCAGCCATCCTGGGGAACACCCCAGAAAGGAAACCGAGAAAAAACTCAGGTCACTGGAGCACCTTACCTGTGCCTGGGGACAGTGCTTCTCGGCACAGGCTGCCCAGGGGTCTGCAGGGGGCAGGCCGGCCACCTTTGGTATCGAGAATGAATATCGCCATATGAAGGCCAAGCTGGGGTTCTCCGTCTCTTCAGCTGCAAAGTGTCCCTAGAACTTTCAATATTGTAAACAGCACATTGGAGACACCTAGATGTCCTGAATGGACAAGTGAGGGAAACAGAAGGATTTGGGGTCTTGCGTATCTTGGGGAATGTGACAATAATTCTCAGTGGACTTGGAGATCAGAACAGAGCGGCACAGAGTCAGAGAGAGGCGGAGCCGAGACGCGAGGCCCCGCCCCGTCCCACCACAGGCTACCCCACCGTGTTATCTGGTTGTAAGTGGGACAGTAAGTGGGACCTTTGGCCGGGGAGAAACTTTTATGTGCTCAACTTATTTCAAGAATACCTTTATACTGCTGCCTAAAAGATTAACATGGTTGCTTGTCTGCACAATTAAGTAATTTTAACAGTGTGTGCAAAACACAGTTTAGGCCCCGTAGGACGTCTGCACGGGGCGGAGCCTGTGCTTTGGTTGCCAGGGTGCTGGCTGGCCTTGTCGAGAACAGAGAAGAAAAAAAGAAAGAAAGAAAGAAAGAAAGAAAGAAAGAAAGAGAGAGAGAGAGAGAGAGAGAGAGAGAGAGAGAGAAAGAAAGAAAGAAAGAAAGAAAATTATACAGCTGCCTACGAAGAAAAACAAGAGAAAAAATAGAAATAAACACATGTGTTAAGAAGTGGTCAGTGTGTGTTATTTTTGTAATGAACACTCAGAAGAGCAAGGCCCTGGTTGCATGTTCTTTGCAGCCCTTGCGATGAAAGGTGCCTGATGAATATTCAGGAGCTACAGAGGGAGGTTAAATGATGTGCCGAAGGTCGCGCAGCTACTTGACGGCGGAACGAGAGCTGAGACCCCTCTCCCCGCTCTCTCCACCTCACTCTTATTTTCTTTCCCTTTTCACATACAGCATGATAATGATCATAATAGCCTTTCCAGGAGATTGGTAAGAGCACGAGCGAGGCGGAATCCCCGAGAGTGGAAGGAGGCAGGCCGATTCGCAGGCCTCGGGGCTCCCCGTCTGTGTGGCGTCCCACCCTGTTTCCTGGAGGCAGTAAATGCTGGATATTTTACTCGTGGAGACGGATTTTACAGGCAGGGTGGCCTCCTGGGAATAAGATTCGCCCTTTTTTTATAGCCCCTAAGAATCCTATCTTCCAATACCCAAGCATATATTTAGGTCATTAAAAATTAGTCACTGTCCCTTGGAGCTCAGTCCCCACAAAGCTAAGGAAGACACCCAGGCTGGTGGTTGGGAAATCAGTCAAAGCTGCGTGGTGGGTACATGTTCCTCATGAGCCAGCCTGCCACACACAGGCTGTCCACAGCAGCGGTATTTGGGGCAGCCCCAAACTGGAAACACCTGAAATGACCATCGCCAGTAGAACAGGTACATTAATTGTGATCGTAATAGGGTGAAATACTTCTCAACAGTGAGAATAAAAAGTACAAAAGCAGACGTCACGGATCTGGGTTGTTGGGTCAGGGCGGTGGTTCCCCAGGGTCAGATGAAGAGCAATGACTGGCAAGGGGCCCAGGGGTTCCTGGCAACGTTCTTGGTCTTGATCTGTCTAGATGCCGCCCCCCAGGAGTGTGTTCATTTGTGAAAAGTCATCAAACTGTACTCTTCTGCTTCGTGCACTTGCCGTTGTGCGTGTTATTCTTCAGTATAGAGTTCAGTTCTGGGGAAACCCTGCCTTCCTCGGATGGCAGGCTGTTTAACGTGTGCTCTGCCTGTCTCACCTCCACCCTCTTGTCCGTTCCAGCAGCTGCAGCAGCCCCATGTACCCCGGCAGCACCTCCAGCCACAGCGGAATCCGTACCCCGTGCAGCAGGTCAATCAGTTTCAAGGTGAGGCCCTTGTAGCCAGTAACTTGCCTTCTGTGCTGTGTTCGTGTCAGGTAATATTACAGATACTTAAGATCTGAGAGGACCAACCAATCAAAATACACTCCTGGAGGTCCCCTGCTGTGCCAAGCATTATTAACCTTTTGGTCGCTGGGTCCCAGAGAGGGCCCGGTGGGCTAATGGAGGGGTCGTGGTGGCTGTGGGGGGTTGAGGCAGCTGTTCTTTGCCAAAGGTACAGAAGTATTTCAATAGTTCAACAACCAATGGGAACATACCAGTGCCTGTTGGCCCAGTATCAGCTTGGTTAGTGTCCGGATCAGCATCTCAGTGACCACAGTGTGGGTAATCTCGTACCACATCTTTCTTGCTAATCCCAGCAGGTCAGCTGGCCAGAACCTTCACTTCTAAGCCGAGGTGGGAGATTCGGGCTTGCAGCAACCACTAATCTCTACCGAATATAGAAACAAATAAGGCCTCGAGGCTGGTTGGACTGTCTTGATGCTGCTGCGGAAATCCCAAGTCATGGCCCCCTTAGCGTTGGGCACACCGTGTGCCGTTCTTTCATAAAGTAGAAGGTCCATTCGGATATCATCCTTTCCCTCTCCAATAAAGAGAGCCACTGAGGTTCTTGTGTGGGGTGGAGGGTGAGCCTTCCCAGTCTATCCACAGGCGTTTTCAGGGGGCTCAGGAGTCCCAAACAGTAGAAATCCTGATTCCCATTCCCTTCCCTTTTCGTAGGACCTAGTTCAGTGCATCCTAACTTCTCAGGGGTTACCTATCCCTTTGTGAATCCGTCAGAAGCTACGAAGCCCCTTGCATAGAAATATGCTGATATAAAATACATACAGCCTTCACGTGTCATTTCACAAGTGTCACTCCCCTCCATAGACTGCGGGTGAAACATTCGTGATCCAGGGTGACATTCTCAGTCTTTGGATTACAGCACAAGAATAGGTTGTGAAGGCAACTGAACAATCCACAACCAGCCTTTTTTAAATGAAATACAATGGGAAAGAAACTATCAGAGTGTAGCATAATAAGGGAAAGTCTTGTTCCTGTTACAAACTTGCGCGTGTATGTACTGGATCATGCGCTGTGTGTTGTGGTTTAAAGAGTCTAAAAGCCACTGATGCTCACAGTCAGGTCTCCCTGAACACGGCCTGTGAACATGCTGACTTTTTTTTTTTAATCCTCACTCGAGGACATTTTTGCATTTGTCTTCAGATAGAATGGGAGGGAGAGAGGGAGGAAGAGAGAGAGAGAAACATCAACGTGAGAGAGACACATGGAGTGGTTGCCACCCACATGACCCCGACCGGGGCCGGGGACGAACTGCAAAGTACGTGCCCTTAGTGGGAACCGAACCCGGGACTCTCGGGTCCGTGAGCCGATGCTCTAACCACTGAGCCAAACCGGCCAGGGCCATGCTGACTCTTGAGTAGCGACCACTCACTTTCACTCGACGCAGGGAAGGACAGAAGGAGTTGGGCTGTCCACAGGTGTGTTCTGTTCTGTTCAAATGAGGGCTAATGTTCTTCGAAGAATTGTTTCTCTGGTCACGAGTGGGGTGTGGGGAAGAGCCACTGTTACGAGGGTAGTCCTTGTGGCAGACACAGGGCCTCCTCTTTCTGTAGTTCTCACACTTCCCTTGCATCAGAATCCCCAGCAGAGCTTGTTAAAGCACAGACGGCCCACCCACTCCTCGGAGCTTCTCATTCAGGAGCTCTGGAGTGGGACCTGAGAATGTACATTTTAATAAGTTCCCAGGAGTTGCTGCTGCTGGCCGAAGGACCACACTTTGAGAACCGGAACTTTCTATTTCGAACGAATTAAAAACATGAAATCTGATCAGCCCAGCCCTGTGTCCATTGGGTTTTCTAGGTTCATAGCTCATTTATTATTTTGGGGGAATAAAGGGACCCACGAAATTTAGTAATTCCTCTTTGTTATGGATTATTCTGAACACTATGGTTCCAATTTAAAAATTCTCCTTGAATTTTTTTCAAACTTCAAAGCACAGGTCATCAACCCAAAAACTTAGCTGTGCTTAAGCTAAACAGCCATGGGTTCCTGAGCTGAAATATGTGTGTGTGTATTCCTATCTTCCATATTCTCATGTATTTGCTAACACCCTGATATCATAATGTTATGTGTCTGGGAAAATAGCAAATTGATAGATCAGGAATATTGTCCTTGGAGAGAAGTTCTGGGAGGAATAATGTGTGGGAGAATCTATATGTCTCAAGGTGTTAATGACTCTTTCTCTCATTGAGTTCTGTGTCCCTGGCCAATGTTACATGCCTATGAGGAAATGCTTATTTTTCACAAATACTGGCATCTTGTGAGTAAAAATAGAACATAGCCCCTTTTAGGGGAAAAAAAAAGTCGTATTATCCTCTCTGTTAGAATATGGAAGATTGTCTTTGATGTTGTGATGTTAACCAGTAGACAAGAAAATCAATTTGAGGACGGTGTCTCACAATACTATCTGTTGTAAACAAAAACAAAAAAAAAGAAAAAGTAGCCCATTGTTTAACATGGGTAGTAATCAGATAAAGGCAAGTTAATTCTTTGGAGGCGGTTGAATTTTTTTCCTGTGAATGTATTTAAAATTACGGAATGCATAGAACTAAATTAATAAAATATTTCTGTTTTTCTTGAAACTATGGTACTGATTGATCGCTGATTTTAAAATGCCCCCTTTTCCCATAAGAAGTATACCTAGATAGTGTAGCCATTTATACTAAGTGAAAACAAAGGTTGGTTTGGATTAATCTTTTAATACCTCTTAAAAGGCGTTGCAGCTTTTCTGCCCTCTTAATAACGGAACCTATTTCTAATTCAAAAACTTGGTCCAGACAATATCCAATCCCTCAACATGTCTATTATAAATATACAACGAACATTTCCAAAATAGTAAAGTCTTTTTATCTATTTCCAGCAGCCCTTCAGCCTGTGTGTGTAATTTGGGTCTATCTGACCAATCTCTTGAGTCAGCAATATTTATCCCTTAAATTTTTAAATAAACAACTCAATAACCCATTTCACCACAGTTCATCAGATTGGCCAAGCAGTCGATACAAATTTAGGCGTTAAGGTCACAAAACTTCATAACAAGATTACAAGTTGCACTATATATTACCATCCAGTATTTAATCAGGAACTTTTGATTTTAAAAAAATATATATATCACGTAGATATAATTAAGGTTAAAACAAACAAATAGAAACATTTCTAAGGATTGCCCCCCCAGATCTTTAGGTTTCCCAACAGTAACCATTTCATTTTTCAATGCAGAATGATATTGATCTCAAGCCTCAAAAACTTAAGTCATAATCAAAATTCCTGTAATTTTCTTTCTTAAAGAAAGAAATAATATATGGAGACATATCTGCTGCCCAGAAATCAATACCCCCATCAGGAAGACAAAAACACACTTCAGTTGTCTGCCAAGGTGCCAGCCTTAACAAGGTTACACCGTTCTCATCTGGTTTCTCATCTCAGTTCCAAGGAGGATCAAATTTGCTTATAATATCGATTGGCTCCTATGCTGCATCTTTTTTAAATGTCCAGGGGAAAAAAAACTATTTTTCTTTGTCTCATAGACTTAATCATTAGCAGGGACATAGAAAAATCCATTGCTTGCTCCGCCTAGTCCTTTATGGCATTGACTGGGGTTCGAAGGGTGACATTTCTGTTCCCCTGGCTGGTTTGGAGATTTCCTGGAAACAAGTAAAGAAGGCCGTACTCAAATGCCTAATTAGAGTGGGGTGACTTGGCACGTTCATACTCCGGCCAACTCTTAAACAGCTTCATTAAAACTCTGTTAGCGATCTGCTGAAAGCCGTAGCGATTGCTGATTTCAAGGAGTGGACTTCGCTGGAGAGATCCGTAAAGTTCATTGCCAAGTAGCAAGTAGCGGGATGATTTCTTTTTCTAGCTCAGGAAGCCGGCCAGTTCGCACTGACATGTTATGATTCAGAGAGTCTGGAGCATGTGGAAATCTACGGAGTGGGTCCAAAAACACGTCCAATCTGTCGAAATAGGTTCTTAGCAGAAGCAGTGGCCTTTAACCTCTCAAATCCTACTCACATCTTAAGGGAAATGAGTCTAATGGTCTTTACAGAGAGTATTCTCTACTGAACCGTGTTCCACTCCACAGACAGAATATGCACGGCGCTCGCCATTTCTCCTTCATTTCGCTCAGGAGGGGAATTCCCTCTCACCTCCAAGAGAAATGGTGTCTAAATGGTTGAGGACGGCATCATATCGAGAAGTGTAAGAAATAATTTGCTGAAATGTGAACAAAATTAGTATCAGGGTAATCAGATGAAAAAGTCAACTCCAAAAGCGTGTGTACAGTATGGTTCTGATTGGTGCACGTGTGCCTGTTTACATATGAATAATAGTTAGCAGTGGTTGTCTCGGGAGGGTGGGAACTTGGGTGACTTTAATTTTTATCTTTGTGCTTTTCAGTATTTTCCAACATTTTCACAATCAGCATGTTATAAGCAGAGAAATAAGAATTGTTTTTCTTAAGGCTGTACTGTCAGAGTAGACCCTTTCATAGGAAAGCCTTCTGTCACCCCCAGAGACCCCTGCGCCTTGGTCCATACCTTGCCGGTCGAGATGATAAGCTGTGCGTGTCCTCTTCCCCTGCAGGTTCTCCGCAGGACATAGCAGCCGTGAGAAGCCAAGCGGCCCTCCAGAGCATGCGAACGTCACGGTTGATGGCACAGAACACAGGCATGATGGGAATGGGACCTTCCCAGAACCAAGGGACAATGGCCACAGCCGCCGCCCAGTCAGAGATGGGATTGGCCCCTTACAACACCACGCCTACCAGCCAACCAGGAATGTACAACATGAGCCCAGGAATGACCCAGATGTTGCAGCACCCAAACCAAAGCGGCATGAGCATCGCACACAACCAGGCCCAGGGGCCGAGGCAGCCCACCTCCGGGCAAGGGGTTGGGATGGTGAGTGGGTTTGGTCAGAGCATGCTGGTGAACTCAGCCATGACCCAGCAGCACCAGCAGATGAAAGGGCCTGTGGGCCAAGCTTTGCAGAGGCCCCAGGGCCCCCCAAGGCTGCAGAGCATCATGGGAACAGTCCAGCAGGGAGCCCCGGGCTGGCAGCAGAGGGCCTTACAGGGCATGCCTGGGAGGACTAGTGGGGAGTTGGGGTCGTTCAGCAACGGCGCCAGCTACTCGCTTCAAGCCGGCCAGCCGAGGCTGACCAAGCAACACTTCCCACAGGGGCTGAGCCAGGTTGTGGACGCTAACACGGGCGCCGTGAGAACCATCAACCCGGCTGCCATGGGTCGGCAAATGATGCCGCCGCTCCCGGGCCAGCAAGGGACCAACCAGGCCAGGCCGATGGTCATGTCTGGCCTAAGCCAGGGCGTCCCCGGCATGGCAGCCTTCAGCCAGCCCCCAGCCCAGCAGCAGGTGCCCAGTGGCAGCTTCGCTCCAAGCGGCCACGGCCAAGCCTATGAGCGGACTGCCCCTCAGGACATGTCTTACAGTTACAGTGGAGAAGCGGCCGGGGCGTCCTTTCCCGGCCTCTCGGACAGTGCCGACCTCGTGGACTCCATCATCAAGGCCGGGCCAGGGGATGAGTGGATGCAGGAGCTCGACGAGTTGTTTGGAAACCCCTAGTTCAGAGGGGCCCCAAATGGGAAAGAGAAACAGGATGTGGACCCATCCTTGTTTTTTGTTTTTTTATCCCACGTAAACTGAGCAGAACTGCAGCTGGCTGACAGTGGAGGATCCAGGTGCCGATCCACAGCCCTGCGGGGCGTCATTTCACCTGGTTTTCACACCGCAGTCGAGCCGAGACACTGTGCGGACCCGGCTGCGCGAGGGAGGCACACCGGAGGCAGGTGGGCAGGTCGCACTTGAGCCCCCATCTCAACACGCCCTGTGGTCCTAAGAGCTGCTCTGGCCCCAGGCAAGGACGGCCGTCCAAGGCGAGGCATCCGTCAGCCCCTTCTGGCCCAGGTGCGGAGGCTGCAGCTCTGGAGACCCAGAGACAGAGCCTCGGGCAGGAGCCCCACAGAGGCTGCTGGGTGGTTGCACAGCCAAGAGCGTGGGTCAGACACGTGCTGAGCTCTGGCTGGAAGAGCTGCCAGGTTCCCGACCTGCGACCGGATGTGGAGGGCAGGCAGGAAGCGTTGTGAGACGTCGTAGGGAGACTGCAGAGGATCCTGCAGGCCCATCTCCTGCCCCGTGCTGACCCTCAGGAATATCAGAGGCGTTGCTCTTGGCTGTCTCTCGAGGATAGCCAAGTGAGCTGGGAAGAAGGTTTGTCCTGCTGTCCCAGGGCCAGCCCTCTGCTGGTGACCCTACTGGCCATCGCTCCGGGTAGGGGGGCTGGAGCCCAGTACCACAGTGACACAGCAAGGCGGTTCCCATCTACTGACGGCACCACAGGGTAGAGAGAACCAGGCGGACGCTGTGTGCCTGCCCCATGGCCGCCTTCCTCTCCCACCCACCTTTGTCCCTCCTTGTGTCCATCTAAGCACCTTCCAAGAAGAAATGAAGCTTCTGTCCATAGGGAGCCTGGGCAGAGTCCAGATAAATGCAAGAAGAACTTGGACAATGCCTGGATGCCAAGGCAACACTGGAGTGTTCTTTCTCTACCATGCGTGGCGCGGAGCGAATCGTCTCTGCCTGGAACTGAGCAGGCCCCGTCGGGGTCACACACTGCATCTGGCACTTCTGCTGTCCCCAGGGGGCCGGCCTGGAGGGCTCCCTTTGGGAAAACTCCAGGGGTGATGCTCCAACATCGGCCTTGCCCTGAACCCCTACTTACTGGAAAGACAAGTCTAAACCCCCGAGAGAGGGGTCACTGAAAGAGCAATCGCTCCACCTTACACCTTTGATGACAAAAAGGAGGGAGACATGGTTCCTTTCGTATGGGCAAACTCATCCACTCAAAAGTCCTGTACAGCTGTTCTCTGTCATTCACTCAGACCCCCCCTAACTGAGGCCTGTCGGAAGGGGTCAGCAAGCCCTGGTGGTGAAGCTTGTCTCCTGTGTACAAGAACTTCGTGTAAACCCTCCCCCCTCCCACTGCCCCGTTTTGGAGGCCGTGTGGCGTAACTGGTCCTCAGTGAGTGAGGGGGTGTGTGCTTTCTCCCCCGCCCCTCCCTCCGGGTCCTGAAGGCTGGCTCCCTTTGGGCTGTCACAGTCAACTCGCCACACCGGAGCCCGAGCCGGGGACCGCGGGGAGCAGGCCTGGCAGCCCTGGGGGAAGGTCCTGCGAAGGGAGTACAGAGGGAAAGCTGGGTGCACAGCGGGCAAACCTGCCCTGACTTGCTCGCCAGGTCCTAAGGTCATAGGTCTATTCAGAAGGGGCAGGGCGGAGACAGAGGTGGCCAGGCGGGCAGGCGCCCAGGCAGGGGCCGTGCCCTCTCTGGGAAGAGGTGTTAGCAGGGTGACCGTGAACACCCTTCGTGGGGAGAGACACCCCCAGGGAAACTCCTGCGTGGAAACAGATGCAAACCAAAATCAAAAGTAAGCAAGCAAGAAGACGATATGTAATTGCCTTTTTCTGAAAGGTACAGGAAACAAATACATAAGCAACGATGAGAAGCTGGAGGTGGCTGCCGGACGGGGTCCCTGTTCCTTTTCCATCGCTTCCTCCGAGTGCTCAGTCCTGGGACCAACGAAATAGGTAGATTTTAATAACGTCGTTTTGGTTTTGTTTTTACTACGGTGCTGATGTATATGTAATGTCTAAAAAAGTTATTTGTAAATAAGTTTTTACAGTACTGCAGATATCACTGGGTCTACTATCTGTAAAAATATACATATAAATATATATATACTGTTTGTTTAAAATAGAGTATTTTTATTTCATCCCGTAACTCATCATCACAGCAATGCTATTGCACTTCAGATGACATCTGACTACTGATTTGTACTGTATGGCAACTCGCTCCATTTATTCAGATTTTTCTAGTTTTCTCTTTTTACTTTGTACATTGAGCATTGCTTATTTCCTCTTCAGAAATGTACAGAACTCTGAAATGTAGAAATGATGTTGACATACCACTTTTAAAGAAAAGGAAAAAAAACTAATAAAAGATCGTTATCTGAATCATCCCCAAGTTGAGTTTATTTGGGGGCTGTCCCTGGATTTCCCAACCTTAATTAAGCAGATATAGTATGCCTGGGTTTTCATTGATTCGCTGCAGTCCTTGTCTCAGAAAGTCGCTGTCGTTGAAACATGTGCGGAACAGTACGGAACAGTCCGTCACGCGCAGTCTTTCAGCTCCAGCGCGGCTGAGACGTTCTGAACTTGCAGTCGGGCTCGGCCAAGGTGCAGAGGAAAGGCCGCTGGGAAGGGACGGGCTGAGGTCCAGCTGTGGGCTCCGCCGCGTAACAATTCGCATCCACTGGTTCGCTCCGAGGACTTGGGAAAGGATAGTACAAATTTTATTTTTTAAAAAGTAAGAGCATTCAAGGAAGCCCTGGCCGGTCTGGCTCAGCGGTTAGAACGTTGGCCTGCAGCCCAAAGAGTTGCAGGTTTGATTCTGGTCAAGGGCACGTACCTGGGTTGCAGTTCGATCACCGGCCCTGGTCAGGGTCGTGCAGGAGGCAACCAATCGATGTGTCTCTCTCACATCGATGTTTTTCTCTCCCTCTCTCTCTCTCTTTCTCTCTCTCCCTCCCTTCTTCCCTCCCACTCTATCTGAAAATCAATGCGAAAATATCCTCGTGTGAGCATTTAAAAAGGAAAGAAAATTCAAGGAATATATCGGGGGGAAGTAACAAAGGAATTTTAGCCCCACTGGGGTGGACACTGTCCACGCATGCACACCCGTGCATTTTTACACACACATGTCTGCCTTCTTCCACCGGCCCAGCTGTATCTCTTTGGAGGGCTCCCTGGGCCAGGGCCTGGCTTAGCCTGCAGCCTCCAACAAAGAGTTCAGGCGTGTAGACCTTTCCATCCTCACGGGTGCAGGAACTTCCTAGACAAACCTGGAGACAGGACTTATGTTCCAGGGGGCTGCAGGATGGAGCGGAGGCTGGGACTTTGCCTAAAGTTGACTCCTGGTTAGGCTTCTTGACCTCTGCCCTGTTTCCCCGGCTGTCTCTGCTCCCCACCCCGGGAGTCCCGTGTTAATTCACACGTGTGACCACACCCCTTCCCTTCTAGAAGACCTGCCTTAAGGCTCTCCACTTTAGGAGAGTCAAAAATAGATCCAAAGCAAAGGTGGATTTTTGATATACAAACCAAGAGAGAGCATGAACCTGACCATGAAGAAGAGGCCTACCCACAATGGGTTAGGGTGGCAGACTAGCTGGCAAATCAGCATGTGACGTTGGGTAACATGAGAGCAAAAATTAATGGAATTTGGGGCGGGGTGTGGAGGCTGACGATAGAAGTACAAACACGAAGCTCTGAGAAGGGTTGAGTACTCCTAGTCCTGATGAATTAAAACCACACCCTTGTATTCGCATGAAAAGGTGCCCTGCACTGGATGAATGGAATGCGTGTCTCCTTTAAAACAATTTCTTATCTGTATTGACCTTTATAAAATCCAGGGCATGAAGTGGGTGACGAGGGATGAAGGGAGAGCATAACGTCTCTCCAGGAAGCCAGTAGGCATCTGCCCCAGGGAGAAAGATGTATTTTGTTGCTGAAAATTCATGACCCTTTGGAAGCACTGGATGAGCCCTGCCTCTGGCCGTTCTTCTCAAGGAAGACTGGAGAAAACAAGGTGGAAAACAACCTGAAACTTTGCCTTATGAATGACTTTGCTGGGCACACCCCACCCACCTCCAACCCTGCAAAGAAGAGGAGAGAGGAAAACACCTGGTGCTACGACTAGTCCTTTATTTTTTTTGTTTTCTTTTTCATTTTTTCCCCTCTTCTTTTCTCTTTGGTTTTCTCCTCTAATTTCCTTTCTTTTTGGTTTTAAGTTCTACGGACATTAGATTTCCATTCCGGTGTCTTCTCGATGAGCTACCCCAGACGACTAGCGCTCTCATGCAACAGGTGGCGGTGATTAGGGCAGCGTTCACACACCTGGGCCCGTGTCGCTGCCTCAGCCGGGACAGCTGCTGGGCCAGCGCTAACGCGGCGGCTCTGCGTACGACAGATCCCAATCATGCGTGCGGTGCTTCGGGTCTGCCAAGAACCACTTGTTTTGAGGATTACACTTTGTTTAGAATTTTAAACTTTTTTAGGAACATTTCCCAAAGAAATCAGAAAAACAGTGCAGTCAATAACTGTATACAGTTACCAGTTCGACTCAATAATTGGTACACTTTGCCAAATCACACTTATTTTGTAGAATCACTTCAAAGTAAGTTATATACACTGCAGCCAGTTCACCCCCACTCCCAGCCCTCACCCCTCAGCCTGCAGCTCCAGAGAATTAGAGCATCTCTCCCCTGGCCACCCATCGTTATGGCACCTAATATAATTAACAGTCATTCCCTAATAGCATCCCACTCTCATCCATATTCGGCTTGTCCCAATACCCTCCGGATGCTTCCATAGCATTCCCTACTAACCAGGATTTGATGGAGGGTCCTACATTGCCATTGGTTTTTATGCCTCTTAAGACTCTTTTAAGGCAGAGTTCTCCACCCCTTTTTTCATAACAATGACTTTTTGAGACAATGAACCCGATTTCTAAAAATAAAATCAATTTACCAATACGCAAAAAATATTTATGTAACTGCCAAAGAGATCAGAAATTCGCATCCCTCCAGCCAGCATGTTTGTTCCCCGCAGCTAGATTTGTAGGAATTAACATGATCAAGAGGTTGTCTTGGTGACAACAAAATTAGAACAAAGGAAATAAATTCTGTAGTTCAGATGTTTGAAGATACAGAGCTCTGGTACACCCATCTTCTTTTTCCACATGTTTAACCAAACTGTGTGTGTGTGTGTGTGTGTGTGTGTTTATAATTTAAATAGTTTCCATTTAGATTCAAAATAGAAGTTGTTTAAAAATCCTCAAGTGTAAGATTTGAAGAACTGTGTGTTTGTTTCTTCCCAACTTCCGAAGAATATGATTAGTCACTGGGCTTTAGGGTCGGATACTTGCACAGTCTCTCTTCCTTGTCTTCAGTGTGTAAAAGTTAAAAATGCCAAAATACAAGTCACCATAACTGATCAGAATACTAAAAAGTAAAAAGATCAAGGAATCAGCGTTTTGGAGCACTGCGGGAAAACGAAGGCAGAGGCTGCAAAGCCGGCCTGTCCGGAGCAGGCTCAGCCTGCCTGGCTCTGGAGCCCCCACCTGCTGCTCCGCCTGCCTGATGACGTGCTTTCAGGGGGAAGGGGCTTGTATCCAAATGTCTCTGTTCCCAGACCAAAACTTTCTCAGCGTACTTTGGGACATCTAGTACTAGTATTTAGGGTGCAAGAGATCGTCATTGTTTTCTCCCCTCCTATTCTGGAAACACCAGTGTTTAAATGCCTTTATTCCTTTTTCTTTTATTCATAGCCTTTATAATCCCTTCATACCCACAAAAATCGAGAAGATAACACCAGATTGGCGGCGTCTAGTTTCCTTTGGAAAAGTGGACAGAGGGCTCTTTACCTAATGTGATGTCATATGCTCACAATTCCATTTCCCTAAGGTCCCTGAGGACCGTGCGGAGGACTCGCGCCTGTTTCACAGATGAAGAAAGTGGCGAGAGGTCACTTGCGATTGTGCCAGGCAGTGACTGCACCCAGGGTCACAACAGCCACGGGCCCCCAGCCCACATGAGACAGGAGGCGCCTCAGAACCCAGCTCAGACCCTCCAGCCGGACCACGACCCTCCCCTGGCCCTGCCAGGGGCAGGAACACGCACTGGGTGTTTCCTTGAAAACAATATGCCCTTTTTCCTTTAAAAATCCATTTTCACAGCCAGATTTAGTTCGTGCTATTAGCTGGCAACTCTCTTCTCTGGCTACTCTGTGTGTGTGCCTGATTTCCCCACGTTCAGCCATCTGTTGCTTTCCTGTCCACAATGACGTGAGCTCGGCTGCCTTCTCAGCATCTGTCTGGAACTTTCCATCAAGGGAGAAGCAGTCCCAGGAGCAGGTAAGGGGGCGGTCCTCAGGAAGCTCACACGCAGGTCAGGCGGACAGTCGGGACTCCGTGTACACGTCTTAAACCAGGGCTCAGCTCACTTCACTGGTGATGCAGATAGACCCCCCAGAGCAAACTTGTTCCTAAACTGAAATCTAGTCTCTAAAGGGTGTGTTTTACACAGCCACTTCAATAAAAACAGAATCAAGACTTTTATTTTTGTTTTAATTGAATGATACCACATAACCTTCTGTAAGCATTTGAGCAGGGGGAGGGAGAACGTTAGAAGTGCCTCAGTTTCTTGGCAATGTCGAGGTCCAAGTATTCATCCAGAAAGCTGTTTGCAATCCCCAGGGCGCCGAGGATGGTCAACAAGACCAACATCCCCAGGCTCAGCTGGAAACCAGTTGTCCTGCAGGGCAGATGAGGGAGGGGGGCCGTAAATGGCTGTAGTAAGGAAGCTGGGGCATCCAGGGGTTGGCTGCTCACTGTGGACACTGCCCAGAACCTTCATGTTTTGGAAATTTGAAGATTCGGATTCATCACATAAATGAAAGGGGATGCCTAACCACAAGGGCTAATTGGCTCCTTTGAATATTCAAAGGACTAAAGCTGGGCAGGATTATTTCCTTGGTCACTTTTTGGAGATAGCGCAAAATTTTTGCAAGAATTTAAAGTGTGATGGTCAGACGCACGTTTAGTGCACACTTTTATACCTGACCTCTCCTGTCTCGTGCCTGATTGTGCATGGACTTAGGGAGACGGGACCTCAGACAACAGAGGTCGCCTTTGCCGGCACAGCCGCCAGTGATGTTAATACTCTCAGGAACAGCAAACTAATTCAGACTCCATGGGCTCTCCTTACCTTTTCTTAGCAGCTTCTGAATATCCCCAGAAATACTTGTGACGGGCATATATGTACACCAGACCCAGACAAGCAGCAAGAACTATAGATGAAAAACAGAGAAGATACAGAGCATGAGGTCAGTTTCTCAAAACGTGGTATGAAAGCTGAGAAAATGCTCACAAAACGTAAAATCTGACCGAAGACATGTGTCCAAGACATGTAGAGAGCCCCGACGACAGTTCGCGGATGAAAGAAAAACAACCTGGTCTTTGCAGTGGGCAAACTATTTGAATAGGGAATTCTCACGGGAAGATAAACAAATGTACCGATGAGCACATGACGAGTTTTTCCACATTATTCATCAGCAAACTGTGATTTAAAACCACAAGATGACACGACTGCACACCCACGAGAGTGGCTCAGACTAAAAATACTGACGATACAAATGCTGTTGGTGCTGGAGTCCTCATGCATCATTGGTGGGAAAGCAAAATCGTGCAGCTACTTGGGGGAAAGTTCTGGTGGTTTCTTATAACACTACACGTACTTTTGACCCAGCAGTTGCATTGCTATGTATTTACCCAAGAGGATGAGAGCACAGGCCCAGAAAAACTCGTACGGAATGCTCACTGCGCCTTCGTAACAGCCAAACGCTAGGAACAGCCCAGAAGTCCACCGACAGGAGAGCGGACAACCAGACGTGAGAATCACACGATGGACTATCACTCTGCAATGAAAAGAAACATGGTGAACCTCAAAGACATTTTGCTGAGTGAATGTAGCATTGCCCAAGAGGACAGACTGCGTGATTCCAATTATGGAAAGTTCCAGAATGGGCAAAACAAAACGAGGATGAAAAACATCAGAGCAGTGTTTACCGGAAAGGGGTTGGCTGGGAAGGGCATGGGGAACCATCTAGGTGGCTGTCGAGTTCTTGATCTTGATAGGGTGTTGGGTCACACAGGTGTATGCACTTGTCAAAATTCGTTGAATAGTGCACTTACAATTTTTTTAATTTCTTTAGAAATAAGTTTTTCCACCCTGGTTGGTTTGGCTCAGTGGTTAGAGTGGTGGCCCTCAGACGGAGGGGTCACAGGTTTGATTTCTGGTCAAGGGCACGTACCTGGGTTGCAGGTGCGATCACCAACCCCGGTTGGAGTTGTGCTGGAGGCAACCAGTTGATGTGTCTCTCTCACATCAATGTCTCTCTCTCTCTCTCTCTCTCTCTCTCTCTTCCCCTCCCTCCCTCCCTCCTACTCTCTCTGAGAATCAGTGGAAAAATATCCTCAGGTGAGGATGAACAACAACAAAAATGTTTTACCTAAAAAAAAATGTAAAGCGTGGCATGATGTTCTGCCATCTGTCCAATGAAAATATCAGCATCTTCCCCGTGTGAGGGACCCTCCGCCTTCCTCAGCACTGCGCAGGTGCCAGCCACCAGCGCCCTCTCGTGAGCACGTGGAGTTTGTGTGTGAGACTCTGACACGCTGGATCGAAGTCAAGCGTTGTCAACGAGTCACACGCATTTTCTTTCGTTTTCTCTACGTACCAGGCATTATTCTAAGCATCGGGGTTAGCTGCCTGCCTTTATGGAGGGTATCAGCAAAGACAGACAACACATACAGAGAAAAGTGAGAAGAAACTGGAAGGTGCGGTGAAGGACAGGAGGGACAGGGCGGCGGGACGCGGAGAGGCGGCTTGGCATTCGGTTCCGAGGGGCTGGCATTCGCGCGGGGCCTGCAGGATGACAAGCCAGTGGCTGAGGAAGCATTCTGAGCATGCTGCTCTGAAACTCCCTCTGATCAGTGACTCCCAGGAAGCGCCTGAGAACTGTTCGGGGCAGCTAACGAGCAACTTACTTCGGATGAGAAAGAACCAGCAGAAAATCAGAGCAAGAAGGTAACAGAAGTCCGTCCCTGACAGGCGCAGGCCCATCACAGTGAAACCCAAGGGGCCAACGGCAGGGCCCGAGTCCCATTATCAAAGGGACTTCTCCTATCCGTTGTTAATGTGGTCTCACCTGACAAGGACCGAGGCCTTCATTCGTGCCCTTAAGGGACAAAAATGTGAGTTGGAATAAAGTTAAGGAGTCTTTCTCTAAAGGACATTTTATCTGAAATTCCTGTCAACAGTAAAAATCACAAGAGAAAGTTGATAGGCTTGCCTTTAAAAGCAGCGGGATTTGGGTTTATTTAAGACCTAGTTGCCCTGGCCGGTTTGGCTCAGCGATTGGAGCATCAGCCTGCAGACCAGAGAGTCCCGGGTTCGGTTCCCGCTAGGGGCACGTACAAAAAAAGAAAAAAGAAAGACTTATCAACCACGAGTGAAACCCAAAGGAGGCAATCAGACTTAGCAGAAAACGAAAGGGATTGAATTTCTCCAGCGAAGGCAGAGTTTGGGTAGAGCCTCCCCTCACCAAGGACACCCCCGTCGAAGAGAAAGTACATATTTGTAGGGTTGTTACATGCAAACAGCAGCGCCAGATCCTTGGGAACTCTCAAGAAAAGGTACTGGGCTGTTGGGTCAGATTCCAATAGACCCTGCTCTGTGCCTGGAAGCTAATTTCCTCCCACGTTGGTAAATGTTAAGTTGGACAAATGACTTAACCCCTCTGTGCTCCCGTTTCTTCATCTGTGAAGCAGGAAGGCTGTGGTTCGCAATTCTGTCCGCAGATTAGAATCACCTGAGGGTGTCAGACACTCGGACACCTGGGCGGCCTCCAGACGTGGTGGGGGCCATGCAGCACTATTCTCTAACCAACCCTCCCCCGGCGCTTCTGACTGCTGTGCAAGGCCAGCAGTCCAGCTCAGCCACCGCCAGTCACTCGACCAGCTCATGTCACTGCCACACAGGGAAGGAGGCCCCCGGCAGGGGCCTGAGATGACCCAGGAATCAATGGAGGTGCAGGTTCTGCTTCAGTTGGGTGAATCCATTGCTTGGGATTTTAAAAACCAGTCTTTTTTTTTTTTTTTAAATTAAAGAAGAGAAGGGAGCCCTGGCCGGTTTGGCTCAGCAGTTGGAGCGTTGGCCTGCGGTCTAGAGAGACCCGGGTTCGGTTCCCACTAAGGGCATGTACCTCGGTTGCAGTTTGTCCCCGGCCCTGGTTGGGTTGTGCGGGTGGGAGCCACTCGATGTGTCCCTTTCACGTCGATGTTTCTCTATCTCTCTCTTTCTTCCTCTCTCTCCCTCCCACTCTACCTGAACAATAAATGGAAAAATGTCCTTAGGTGAGGATAAAAAATAAAAGAAGAGAAAGGAAGGGAGAGAAACATCAATTGGCTGCCTCCTGCACGCCCCCTACTGGGAATCAAGCCTGCAACCTGGGCATGTGCCCTGACTGAGAATCAAACCGGAACCTCTCAGTCCAGGAGACGATGCTCAATCCACTGAGCCACACCAGCCAGGCTAGAATTCAGTCTTTTTATCCTCACCTGAGGACATTTTTCCATTTTTTGTTTAGACAGAGTGGGAGGGAGAGAAGAGAGAGGAGGAGGAGAGAGAGAAACATCGACGTGAAAGGGACACATTGAGTGGCTGCCACCCACACAACCAACCAGGGCCGGGGACAAACTGCAACCGAAGTACGTGCCCTTAGTGGGAACCGAACCCGGGTCTCTCTGGACCACAGGCTGACGCTCTCACCACTGAACCAAACCGGCCAGGGCTAGAATTCAGTCTTGATTAGAACTGTTAGTCATTCATGCAAGGTAGGCGCTAGGACTACAGCAGCAAGTGAGGGAAGTCCCTGACCCCAGGGATTGTACGTTCTGCTGGGAAACCACAGTGAGGGACTGTGACAAGGAGCTGAGACAAGGGCCAGCCAGAGGCCTCCCCCACTGTCACCTGCACATAGGACACACACCTGCAGGGGGTCTGCGGTAGGATCCAAAGGTCAAGAGACTAACTCAAGATCTGGAAGTAGAGACAACTTTGTGTCATTTTCATTCTGAAGTGCCCAACATATAGTTTGTTTCAGCTTTTTAAAAAATTACTGAATTAAATTAGAATGAAGCAAAGTTAGACTGTCTGCAGCACAGGGCTCTTTAATGAACAGAGATGTTGCTTGTGTCATCTAAAACCATGTTCAGGCTTCGTAGATGCGTGGTTGCATGTCCGTCCCTTAACAGTTCCGAGAACCATCGTCCTCACTGGAACAGAGCTGATTGTATTTTTTAATCACTTTGGTTGAGCCCTGGGCAGTGTGCTAAGTGGTTAGAGCGTCGGTCATAGGTTCAAAAATCAATGAAAAAAATCTTCAGATGAGGATTTTAAAAAAAAATTTGTTTTTAAATTACCTTGGTTGAAATACCATCCAGCCATCCACAATGTAATCATGAATACGGGGTAAAATTCCACACAGTTCTGTCTGCAGGAAAAAATAAAGACATGAGTTATTTTATGAGAAAACTGCTCTAAAGTACTGAGTTTTTTGTTTTGTTTTTTTTTATCCTCACCCGAGGACATTTTTCCATTTTTTGTTCAGGTAGAGTGGGAGGGAGAGAGAGGAACAGAGAGAGAGAAACATCGACGTGAAAGGGACACATCGAGTGGCTGCCACCCGCACGACCAACCAGGGCCGGGGACAAACTGCAACCTAGGTACATGCCCTTAGCGGGAACCGAACCCGGGTCTCTCCAGACCGCAGGCCGACGCTCCAACCGCTGAGCCAAACCGGCCAGGGCTAAAGTACTGAGTTTTAATCTAGAGGTTAAATGTCCATTCCTTTTTCACAAAAATAATGTAAGAGTTTACATAAAGAGCTTAAATGACCCTTGCACGTGAAATGAGTCTTTCGAGGCGAGACAAACATTGTTTAAACTGCAGAGCAAGGCCGGGGCTCACTCTCCTACGTCTAAGTTGCCAGAAGTAGAAATAAATCATCGCTTTTTCCAAAAAGAAAGGTCTTGAATGGTCATGATTCTGGACCTACAAAGTATTCTGTATCTTATCTAAAGAACCCAGAAAATAATTCATATTAAACAGATTTCTTCGCCCAAATTCCCTCATATCCATTGCTTTCCACTTAAGTGACTCGGCACAATTTTTAAAAATAAGGTCTTTCAGTAATTTCCCTTAAACTTCCTGAAGTAAATGAATGAGCATATTTCATTCCCATTTCACAGAGGACAGATGGAGTCCTGAGAGCCCGGGCTGATGAGGCCTTGCAGAGAATCCGAGGTGGACTGTGTCAGCTCCGGATTGCAAAGCTCTGTCCTAATGTCAACTCAAATTGCCTCTATTCATAGAAGACGGGGATGGAAAATTTGATACTATTTTAAGCAAAAGGGAATAGTTCTCTGGGAACTATAATTAATGCATCTGCACCTAGCAAAGGGAGAGAGATGAATTCTATTTCTCCCCCTTCCTGTGCTGTCCCCCAGTAGTCTTGGCCAGGTCGGTTGTGTCCTCTTCCGACAACATCACAACCAGGAAGAACTGGAATGTAAGTTGTAATGAGGTTTTGAGTGGATCTTGGTGGAAGAGTCATCATGGACAGGATTACCAGTGATCCCACACTTTCTTAGAGAAGCCTTAAAGCCTGAGCTTATTAGGGTTACAGGCAACTGACCCAGAAATAGTTGAGACTGACTGTCTGTTGAAGACCATAAGTGATATTTGTAATTGAAAAAAATAAAGTGTTTTGTTTGGTTTCTGCAACCAATACGGCAACATCAGTCCCTCCTCTCATGGAAGGTACAGCTACACACAGAGCAATTCCCTCCGAAAAATCCAGCCGAGTGCTCCCACACCTCGGACGAATGAGAGAATACCCACTTTTTTTTTTTTTTTATCCTTACCCGAGAACTTTTTTGCATTTATCTTCAGATAAGCAGGAGGGAGAGAGGGGGGAACAGAGAGAGAGAAACATCAATATGAGATAGACACATCGAGTGGCTGCCACCCACACAACCCCACCCAAGACCGGGGACAAACTGCAACCGAGGTACATGCCCTTAGCGGGAACCGAACCCGGGTCTCTCTGGACCGCAGGCCAACGCTCTAAGTGCTGAGCCAAACCGGCCAGGGCCCCACTTTTCATTTTTATAAGAAAAGTCCAAGACGTACCATCACCACAAACACCACCCCAGCACACGCCTTACAATCAGGAGGCAACCCTCAACTCGCAGCTTCTTTCTGAGCACCCCAACCTGAGGGCTGGGTCCCCCAAACGTCTAGCTCTGAAAACCAACTGAGCTCTCATCCAAGTGACCCAAAAGGCTTTGGGGAGGACTCTAGCAGGGCAGTGGCATGGCCCTTAAACTGCTTGCCAGGAGGGGCTATGTCCCTGCACACGTGCCCTGGGGCTCCAGGGAGTAACCCAGAAGCTAGGGGAAGGGGGTGCTGGGGTTCTGAGTGAGCAGGGCTTGTTAGAGGCCACTGAGATGCAGGCAAGGATGGGACTATAATGGGCATTTGTGATCCCAGTTGGCAAAACCTGGAGCATTGGGGCAGTTTAGCACCGTATCTTCGTACCCTCCTTCCCCAGGAAATGAGTCCCTTGTCCCCTGCAAGTGGTCACTGATGGTCTTACCCTGACCTCATGTCCCAGCAGTGCTCACTGTGTTTGCTCCTGGTCCCTCTTCTGCTGACCTGCCTTAAGCCAGTCCTGGGGTCCTGCTATTTGCTCAGTCTTCTCTGCTGCAGCCTGCTGAGAATGCTGGGTATTGCTTGGCCCGAAAATACCTCGCATCCCACCGCAGCTGAGGGGGCCGTGCCTGGGCGTGTCCCAGGAAGCTTGCTCACAGCTAGCTGTCAGCAGACACTGTTTTATCCAAGGGGACCCTACTCTCCAAATGTGTTCTTAGCAATCCTATCAATAGCTAATCACAGTTACATTACTTGAAAACCAAAATGAGAATAATTATTGATCTCTTGTGGACGTGAAGGCAGATCTATTCTGTCATCTGCATGTAGGAGACCCTCGGGAAAACCTCCAGATGGGACAGAAAACAGCTGGCAGCAGCTGTCGATGTGCCTGCCTGTCCCCAGGAAGGGCAGCCCAGCCCGTGTCCTCGTTTGCTGGCTAAAGCCCTCTTTGCACAATAATCCATGCTCTCCTGACATTTCAATTTCCCGTAGACAGATTAGGGAGAAGTTCACTTGGTTATAGGCAGATGTCACCATGGACCTCAAATTCCACATGGGTGAGTCTTTGCCAAAAGTTCAGTCGGGTGAACAAGCATCCTGTTTGCCCTGGACGGAGAAGGTTTGCAGAACGTGGGACTTTTCGTTGTAAACCCAGGACCACTGATAACTGGTCCCAGGACGCCTGGAACTAAGGGGTCTCCTGGGACACAGTCAGTCTGATGAAGCCTGAAGAGACTGAGTGGTTATGGCTTCTCATCCAGCTCCAAAGGAGCTGGGCCTGGGGCTGAGGACAGGGACCCCTGCAGATCCCGCCTGGATCCAGGGCTGGGAACAGGGACAGTGGTCCGAACTAAACACCGTTTGGACCCCATCTCAGTCACTGAGGGCACTGCAAAGGTCACCTCAATTTGGAAAAAAGAATGAATTTGTGGCCAGGCAGCCTAAACTCTGACAGTTCCTAAAAACACGAGTCTCCAATTTTTTAAAATTGTGTAGCCCTAAGAGCTAGACAACCATCGTAAAGATATACACGTGTCCTGCGGCAGCAGGGGTGCTGGCTGGCAGCCGATGGGCTGAAGTGGGTGCTGTGCCTTAGCTGCCCAGACCAGGACTACACCACCAGCCCCTTTGGATTCGAGGGGGCTTGAATCCAAGTCATGAACGTGAAGTGTGTCCCTCTGAGCCCAATGGTTAAGTCACAGGTGTGCCAACCTCCTTCCTCCACTCACTGGCGGAATGGAGAGAACTCTGGGGGCCTGGATGGGACACGCCCCTCGCGCGGAAGGAGCCTAGGCCTCTAAATGACCAAGTGGAAGTTCACCCAACAGGAACATCCATGTAGGACTTGGCATGAGCAGGAAGTAAACTTCCGCTGGGAACATGGGGTTGATCATTAGCACAGCTAATATAATCAATCGACTGGGCAAGAACAGCATGTATACAGTGTAAAACACACACAGAGTAGAAATTAAAGGATGAAATTTTAAATACAAATAGGAGCTCAAATAGTTTCCTCTCCCCTCCCCAGCAGATGACTTAGTGCCCCTCCTCGGGGCACACATCACTTCTAAAGATCTCTGTCTGTAGCGATTTCTAATGAACAGAGAGCTCTGCTTATAACAGTCTTGCTTATGGAAAAGCTGAACCATTTGCCAAAGGAGGAAACCTGATCAGACATAGAACATTTACAGTGTCATGTTCACCCTGGGATATTTTTTAAAAAAATAAAAAACAGACAAGACAACTGAAAGGAGCTGTCTTGGGTTCCCTCTTTCAAGCTGGCGTGTGTGTGCTGCTTTTCTTCCTCCTTTTGTTTGGGGGCTGTTTTCTGGAGCAGCGGGCTGCACACACTGTTAACAGATGACCCAGCCCCACTCTCCTGGCTTTCGACCCTGCGAAGTCTTGCGGATGATTACACTGGCCGCGGGTCAGAGCACCAGGTTAATATGCTCAGAAAAGTCTTGGGGACGAGAGGTTGCTACAGTTCATCTTCCTCTAGACGCATAACTATCTAAATTGCTCCTTGTCAAGTAATCCTTGTGTGGGGACACCCGAGGGAGGCCGTCTCTGGTGGCAGGAGGGCACGGCTCTGACCAGCACGTGTCAGCAGAGCTGCTGACGAGGATGAGGAGAGGGAGTCAGGCTTGCCCTTCCGCCGGGACCAGAGCCTCTCGGGCCGACCACCTGAGAATCACCCAGCTGCTGCGACAGACGCTGTTTGGTGGTGGCACTACCTGAATTGTTGTGTCCTCCCCACAATTCATATGTTGAAGGCCTAACATTCACAGGCTGGAGTAAGGGAGTATTTAAGGATAAATGAGGGCAGGAGGGTGGGGCCCTGATCCCACAGGATTGGTGTCTTAGAAGAAGAAACAGCAGGGAGCTGGCTCTCTGATCTTCCCCCCCCCATCCCGCCCCGGCTCTCTCAGCACCCCAGGTGCACAAGGACGCAGGAAGGGCCTCGTCAGGACAGACAGCCAAGAAAGGAGAACTCTCACCAGCAAATCGAATCAGCCAGAACCTTGGTCCTAGGCATGCAGCCTCCCGAACGGGGAGAAAAGCCAAGGTCTGTTGTTGAAGGCTCCCAGTGTGGTATTTCGTCATGGTACCCAAGCTGACGGAGACAGGCGGTGTGGAGCAGGACGCTGGAGTCTGAAGACTCGCCATCAGCCATTCTCCGTCTCGGAGACCCCAGCTCTGTAACCTAGCAGGTGAGTCCATCATCCCGTGCTCCCAGCTAACGCCCACGATGGGCACCGTGTGAGGAAAGCGGATGTGTGCTTTCTGCCCTCTCTCACTGAACTTATTTGTCCTTACCACAGAATTAGGTGACCCACATTTCCATCACCCTGGTAAGGCAGAAAATCTGAAAAAGTACTATCTTTGTACATTTTTCTTTTCTCTGTAATTTTTAGATATGCATTAAGGTCACTAGTTGTAATTTCCAAATTTCAGAATTAGAGTTCAACATGACTATTTAAAAATATATATATAGTAAAATGAGTCCAGCCGGTGTGGCTCAGTGGTTGAGCGTTGACCCATGCACCAAGAGGTTGCTGGTTCGATTCCCGGTCATGGCACATGTCCAGGTTGTGGGCCCAGTTCCCAGTGGGGGGCATGCAGGAGGCGACCAATTGATGTTCTCTCTCATCAATGTTTCTATCTCTTTCTCCCTCTCACTTCCTCTCTCTCTAAAATCAATAAAGGAAAAATAAAATAAAAATAAAAAATAGTGAAATGGCCCTGGCAGGTTAGGCTCAGCGGTTGGAACATCGGCCCTTGGACCAGAGTCACAAGTTCAGTTCCAGTCAAGGGCATGTACCTCAGTTGTGGTTCATCCTTGGCCCTGGTTGGGTTGTGTGGGAGGCAACCAATCGATGTGTCTCTCTCACATCGATGTCTCTCTCTCTCTCTCCCCCCACCCCCACTCTATCTGAAGATAAATGGAAAAATATCCCCGGGTGAGGATAAAAACAACAACAACAAAAAACTAGTGAAATGGCAAAAAGAAACTTTACAGAACCACACTGGAGTACGAAGAGGGTAACATTACTAAAGAGTACTTAACTTTGTGATGATTGGGTTTACATGGGCGTTGTGGCAGGTTAATTCTGGACCAGAAACTGAGTAATTTAGCATTAAGCAAATAAGAATACATTAACAAAAACCAAGAGGCCATTCCTCTGTCTTACCCAGAACCGTGAAACCCTTGTTGGAATACTACATATACTTCTAAACTCCAGGCCTAGAAATAATATGGAAAATTTTAGTCTAAAAGTAACAACCACAATTTTGTAATGACTGGAGGAAAACAGCTAAAGGATTCGGGCTGTCGAGACTCAAGATGTAGACGAGGAAAGACGCTTCTTAATGGTCCTCAAGTAGATGAAGAAGAGAAAGGTGATCAACTACTCTTTTCTCTCAGTGAGGAGAGAATCAGAGGAAATGTGTTTAAGTTGCAGTGAGATCCGTTCATAACTTGGATCTACTTTTTAGATTTACAAAAGCCTTTAATCTAAAGGAATCCAGGAGCTCAAATTAAACTATACGGAAGTTTCTAAGCTGAGAAATAACATGAAGGAATGGCCCTGGGTGAAATTATAGTTGCTATTTTCACAATTTTAAAAAAATGTATTCTGGCAAAAAGGCTGCAAAACTCTAGAGACAGTCACCTCGAAGGCCCTGGGTGCAGGGAAGGAAGAGGAGCTGAAGGGGACCTTGGAGAAGGGCCCGGGGCCGGAACTTGGGTAAGCTGGGCTTCATAAGAAGCGTGTCTGCTTGGCAAACGAACATCCAGCGTGAGCTCCGGCTGGGAAACGGGTCCTGCAGGTGGTCAGAGGGACCCGCGGCGATAGCTCCGAGACGTCAGGTTCCACGTGGAGATAGAATTCGCCATAACATCAGGCTTCCTGGCTGTGCTGAGAGCAAAGCGCCAGGGGAAGGGAAGGGGAGGGCAGCAGTTAGCTAGAGGCCAGGCCAGAAGACCTCGAAGGGAGCCGAAGGGACTCCGTGTTTGGTCCAGGAGCCAGAGAGCAAGGGCCTTCCCTCTCCGGAGCCTACCCTTGAAACCAGAACAGGTGGCCCAGCAGGCTCCAGGATGAACTGGTCCCCCCGGGATCCTGCCCTAACTGTCTCCCATAAAGCCGAAATAGCTTCACTAGTCATCTGATTTGGCCAGATTTATCCTGGACCGTAGACTCGAAGGCAAGAACTGGGCTAGGACTGAGGACCACCTATGGGGAAACTCAAGGATGGGAGCAGGACACCCCATTCACCTTTCCGACAGAACCCAGGGCAACTCCTACCACGCCCTTAAAGGTATTTTATGGCTCAGAATCTCCCCCACCCTAATCATTGGCTATTACTCCTAACCACTCTCTGTTCTGCTTATGAATAATCAACAAAGCAAATAAAACACTTCTAACAAGGAAATTGTACACTTCTTTTATAAGCAGCACTTACATAACATTTTTGGAAGTAGTGTTCAGCTTTATTCCTAGGACGAGGCTACCGAAGAGGAGGGAGAGATCAATGACTTGAAAGAAAATCAAATTTGTGGGAACAATGTGAATGACACAGAACCGGAAGTGGCCCAAGGACTTAGCCTGCTGAGTCCAACACTCCTCAACAGGAAGTTCTCGGGCGACAAAGACAAAGTGGGAAGAAGTGGAATTTCCTCCTGTGATGATTTTTATAAACAGTACAGTGTCTCCCAAACTTAAAACATTAATATATCATGGTCAAAATTTTAGGCTCTCCATATACTATTTTTCTACATATCAAAAATTATTTTTACTCAGACAAATTAGGGGAAATGAAATTTTACATTACTACCACAAAAGGAGAAAGAGTACCACTTTCAAAGTCAAGGTTAAGTATAGAAATAAATCCCATGAAAAGAAAAACGTTCCAAGTTCTCATCAGATGCTACTGGTTGTTGAAGGCCCTAAGCACGCGTATGTGTTATTCTGATAAAACTAAATATTGATTTTGGCGTGTAAGACATCCTGGCACCAGGCCAATACTTTCCACTTGCCATAATCATAAAGATTCAAAGACCATTGGAATGAAAATGACTCTCATCCTGTGGCTCAGTGTTACCTACAATCCTACCTTGGGATCGAGTTTCAGTCAAGAGGAGGAATAGGTGGTAGAGACTTGTACCAACTTGTACCTCCAGTCAACAGTTATGTGTCATACACTTAGAGTTTTGTCACGAAGGAAGCTCTCATAATACATGTTCTCACCACAATAAACTTTTTTTAAAATAAACTTTTTAAAACATAGTCTGTGATCAAATAGATGGACAGGAGACCCATGTTGTCAGCTCAAGGATCATGACTTTCCCAAAGTGATTCAAGACGTAATAAAAAGGCTGAACAGTCCAGTTATCATTAAAAAATAATAAATCCCATAGTTTAAAATGTTTCTACAAGGAACACAGATCCAGATCGTTTTACATGCACATTCTACCAACTCTGAAGGAACACTCTCTCCCAATCTCATTAATATTCTCTGAGAAATCATTCTCTAACTCATTCTGTGAAATTAATATAATCTTGATATCAAAATGAGACAAGGCGAAATAAGCCAGTGAGAGAAAGACAAACATCACATGACCTCACTTATTTGTGGAATCTAATGAACAAAATAAGCTGACGAACAAAATAGATCCAGAGACATGGAAGCAGGGAGCAGACTGACAGACCTCAGAGGGGAGGGAGTGGGAGGGGTGAAAAGAGATAAATCACAGAGTTTATATGCACATGTGCACAACCAATGGACACAGACAACAGTGCGGTGAAGGTGGGGGAGGGGTGGAATGGGAAGGAGGGTGTCAATGGGGGGCGGGGAAAGAGGGACATCTGTAATACTTTCGACAATAAAAAAAAAAATGAGACAAGGACCACCCAAGAAAGGAAAATAATAAGCCAACCTCACTCACGAACATACATGAAAAATCCCAAAGTAGTAACAAAGAACCGAGCAATGGGGTCTAAATGGTGAGATGTGCCATGTTTTCCAATGCACTTCGTTTGGGGTGTGAGCTTTTATAAAGGGAGCCCTAGTGTCCCGCAGCAGGCAAAGTCATGGTGTTCATGGGAAACATTCTGCATGTCTGCAAAGGCAAGGAGAACAAAGTGATTGAATGAATCCATGTGTAATAAAAGCTTTCTAAATCTCACAGGTCTCCGATGTGAGGAAATGGTTTGTGGGCAGAAGATAATACACACCCACTTCTGTTTTGAAGTGGAGAGAAAGACAGAAATACAGAAAAGATGTAAAATTGATAGCATAACTTATCCAACTTGAGGCGACTGAACTCTCAGGTGCCCTTTGACCAAAGTGCCATGCTTAGAGACACAGAGGACTCTCTTCTAAGACCCCAGCCTTTTTGTAAATGCACTCTCTGAATCTGTAATAAAGGTGGGTAGAGACCCCATGCACTGGGTACCTTGAGCTTCAAGGGTCATGAGAAGGGTGTTGGCCGGGAAGAAGGGTTTTCTCTTCTCTGCACATCTTGTCCCCAAACAGAAATGTGTGTGTGTGGCCTGCCCGGATCCCTGAACCCTGGGAGAAGCATGACTTACTGTGCACGAAATATTCTCTCAAACTCTGGTGACCCAGCGACTGCCGGGGGCATAACTTTGTATTTTAATCTTGCTCTTCCTACATGCAAAGCAAAATAACCTGCAAGTAAAGAAGAATTAATGTTAAAAATCTGGCACATTATTATTCATTAGTAAAATGCAACTTTAAACCATAATTAGATACCACTACATACCTATTAAAATGTCTAAAATTAAAAAGATAGGTCATACCAATTTAAAAAGACAGACAAGTGAGGATATGAGAGCAACTGGGACTCCTATCCATTTCTGGTGGGAGTGTAAAATGGCACAACCACTTAAAAAACCATTTGGAAGGGAATTTTTAGTTAGGCACATATAGACCATATGATTCAGCCATGCCACTCCTAGGATTTCCCCAAAAGAAATGAAAGCATCTGTCCACACAAAGACTTGTACATGAATGTTCGCAGCAGCTTTATTTATAATCACCCAAAATTAGAAATAACTCTGTGATGTTTAATTTTATGTGTCTACTAAGCGGGGCCACAGTGCTCAGTCGTTCGGTTAATCATCAGTCTAGGTGTTTCTGAGAAGGTGTTTTTTTAGAAGTGATTAACATTTACATCAGTAGGCTTTGAGTAAAGCAGATTACCCTCCTTAATGTGGGCGGGCCTCACCCAATCAGTTGAAGGTCTTAGAAAATAATGAGGTCCTCAAAGACGAGGAAATTCTGCCTCCATAGTGCCTTCAACTCAAGACTGCAACATCAACTCCTGCTGGAATTTCCAGCCTTCCAGCCCACGCTACAAATTTCAGACCTGCCAGCCCCCCGATTTATTTTATTTCTTAAAATAAATATATATGTGTGTGGATATGTACATAGTCTATCTCTTCTGATTCTCTGGAGAACCCTGAACAATACAGATGTCTCTCCAGAAGTGAATAAGCAAATTGTGGCATATGTGTATATAAATTCAATAGGATGCTGCTCAACTATAAAAAGGAATGAACTATTGATACAAGAAACAACATGAGTGAATCTCAAAATAATTATGCTGAATTAAAGAAGCAAGACTAGCCCTGGTCAGTTTTGCTCAGTGGTTAGAGCATCAGCCCACAGACCAGAGAGTCCCAGGTTCGGTTCCCACTAAGGGCACGTACATGGGTTGCAGTTTGTCCCAAGCCCTGGTTGGGGTTGTGTGGGTGGCGGCCACTCGATGTGTCCCTTTCACATCGATGTTTCTCTCTCTCTTCCTCCTTCTCTCCCTCCGCTGTATCTAAAGATAAATGCGAAAATATCCTCGGGTGAGGATAAAAAATAAAAAGAAGAAGCAAGACCAAATAAACGACTACCACTGTATAATTCCATTCATGTAAAATTCTCAAAAACACAAGTGAATCTAGAGTGACATAAAGCAGATCAGTGGTTGCCTGGAGATGAGGAGGGCAGCAGGGGGGGGGGTCATGAGAAAACGTTTCAGGATGATGGATCCCTGCCTGACTCGGTTTCCCGCTTATAAAATGAGGATGACTCTGTTCTCCTTCACTTGCTGCCTGGAAGGTGCATTAGACGATCCAACCCCACGCCTCTTACGATGAGTTCTGTGAGCTCATTCACCCTCAGACCCACACTTCTGTGTCATTTCTCAGTTCCTGTCCTATGTCCTTTTTGCCCGATAATTAACTTCTGGCGTCAATGATTTTTCCCTTCGGACTGTCTCTTCCACATTCAGTTTCTTTCCAGTTCTTCCCAGTAATCTTCATCTCCCTTATTTTAGTTCTTTCATGTCTGTTTTCTACTTGTTACTATTTTTAGAGGAGTTTCCTTTTCCACCCCCAGTTTGTAGCTTCAATCTGTCATTGAATTCGGGAGGGCGGGGTGGTGTGTGTCCTCCTGAAACACGACTACTTCTCCCTCCGAGAGGTGGGTCAATATTGAACCTGGCTTAGTTCGGGCTCTCACAACAGGCCCCTGTCCTTCCCCTTGATCCCCTCTGCAACAAAGAAACTGTCGCTGAGGGTTTAAAGCTGGAGCTGACTGTCTAAAGCGTGTGAACCCTTGGGACTGAAGTCTTTCTCACTGGAGCTGCAGCCCCATGACGCCGCCTGAGCCACAGAGGAAGACAAGAAAGTGTGGGAGGGGCACCGGCGTGCCCACCCTGGGCTAAATCCTTTCGAGGCAGCAGGAGTCTGGAGGGGCCGATGGCTCATGGGCCCAGCTGGAGCCAAAAAGATCTGCCTACCAAGTGGGGCTGGGACTTGGCCATTCTGTCCTCACCATTGCTTCTCACACGCTCCGCAGCCCTGGAGAAAACCCTCGGCCCGGCTTCTCGTTTCCGTCTGTACGGACCCTGCGCTCCCGGGCTCCACACCAGCACTGGTGCAAGACAGAGGCCGTGGGAAGCTGCGAGAAAGGGCTGGCGGCCCTGAGGAAGTGGGCAAAGGGGAGAGGGTCTGAACACCCCACCCCAGCAGCAGGAGGAGGATTCCTCTGGGCCCGGGAAGCCCCAGGGGCAGAAGTCCCTTTCTGTTCTCTCATCGGGGCCTGAGAGAGACCATGGCTACTGCTGGGACCGTACGACGAGAATGGAAGGACTGTTTTACCCCTTTCCCCGGAGAGCTTCCGTTTTATTGTCCTTCTTGGTTGATTAAAAACAACTTGAGCCCCGGCTGGTTTGGCTCAGCGGTTAGAATGTTGGCCCTTGGACCAAAGAGGCTCAGTTTTGATTCCCAGTCAAGGGCACCGACCTCTGTTGCTGGTTTGATCCCCGGCCCCGGGTGGGAGTCATGTGGGAGGCATCCAAACAATGTGTCTCTCGCACATCAATGTTTCTCTCTCTCTCTCCCTCCCTTCCGCTCTATCCAAAAATCAATGGAAAAATATCCTCAGGTGAGGATTAACAACAACAACAAAAAAAACAACTTGAGAATTGCCTGTCTTGCTTTTCTCCCTAGCTTTCCCCGGGGGTCATGTCTTCGGGGACAGTGGATGGAGACCCTGCACCATGATCCCTCCCCCGGCCACAGCCTCCCCATGTGACCACTGTCAGTCCAGCTTCTGGGGCAGCAGCAAGGACGGGACTGACCTCACTGAGCACCCTGGTGGGCATTTCCCACCCTGTGTCCTCTTTAACCCTTGCTGCTGAGGACACTGAAAGACACATGCCGTCCAGGGCCACCCGCCTGGCAAGTGGCTGCACTGTCTTCCAAACCTGAGCTGCTTCTACCATGACACGTGCTGTCCTGACTCCACAGACACCAGACTCTTGTAGAAGCAGCAAATTCTGATTCTTAATGCCGACTGAACAGCGCGCTCTCTCGCTCTCTTTCTCTCTCTCTCCTCCTCCCTCTCTCTCTCTCCCTCCTCCATCATCAAATATTCCCTATCTAACCCCAATCACCATTGGCTTAGTCTCCTCTCTTCCCACTCCCACCCATGTCACCCAGCCACAGAGCCTCCGTGTGAGGATGACACGGTTCCGTCAGCGGGGGCACCTGTGGCCGGCTCCTGTCTCTGCAGTGCGTGGAGGAGGTGTTCTCGGGTGGCAGTGCCTCCGTGTCGGGGGCCAGCACGGGGCGCTCCAGATCTGCGTGCTTCTTAAATTGGTCACAGAGATCCTGCTCTCCCCCACGAAAAGCTGTGACTCAAAGCACAAAAGGTGTGTCTTAAGGTCATAAGTCCACACAACAGACCGGCCAGGCCAGGCACGGAGGCGTGTGCAGGCTGGACTTTATCCTCAGCTGCCTGCAGCCCGCAGCCCTGCCCGTGTCCGGGACAAACACACTCGGAAAGATAGAGAAACGTGTACTGGGTCTGAGGTCTGGCCACCAGTGCTCAGACCCTTTTCCCCCTTTAGAAGGTAAGAGGCTAAGAACTCAGCACCTGTGATCCCCGTGGAGAAAAAGTCCTCTGTTTAACCAGGCAGTTGGGATACTGATTGATCCTAGTGGGAAGGTGCTTTAAAATTTAGAATTCATTACTGAATCCGGAGCTCGTATTTCTGTGGGAGGTTTTCTTTTTTCTAACCTGATATTCAGACCTGCCATGAGCAGTTTATTTATGAAAGCACATTAATTAAAAGATCAGAGTTTAAGAAATCACAGCCAGAGCTCACAGCCAGGCACGATGTTACCTTTGGAAACTCGTCATTAATATTTACAGCACCCCCTCCCCCATCAGCACACTTGTAATGCTCACTGGACGGGGCTGGGGGCTGTCATCGCAGCTGAGAACATCCCTGCAATGGTCCAAATCTCCCCACCCCCAGGAAAGGAGGTGCTGGGGACCCAGAGCAGACCAGGGTCTTCGGAGCACACAGGGCCACCAGCAAGTATGCAACCCAGAAACTGGACCTCCCTTCACACGCGCGCGAGCACACACACACACACGCACACGCACACACGCACGCACACACCCCGCCCCGGACTCTTACTTTGCTGACAGGCAGACAGGACAGAGACAGCGGCCAACAGGATCGAATTCCCAGCCATCTTCACAGGGCACGTTCTGCTTCCCGGAACTGTTTGCAGAAGTAAGGGGAGAAGAGCATAGGCCTTGCCGTGACCTTCTTCATAAGGTAAACAAAGGTCGGGGAGGGGGGAAAGATGATTCAAGCAGCTCAGTGACTTTTGCTCTGGAACAGGAACAGGAAGCAGGAAGCCCGCAGGTCCAGGCTGCAGCCGCAGACCTGGCAGACCTTCCTCTGGCCCGGAGCTGCTCCCTGCACTTGACCTACGGCTCTGTCCCGGCCAGTGGGCTGCAGGCTTCGCCTCCAGCTACAGCGCCTGCAGTTCGACATCTTCTCGGCCAATTCCAAAACCTCCTCCCCCTCGTTCAATATCTGGGCCCCTTTGTTCCCTCCCCAGCTCCAACGCCTTGCTAAGACCCTTGTCATCTACTGTGGAAAAAGTAAAAGGAAGCTTTTATTTCATCCCATTGAGATCGAAATGTTAATCTAAACAGATTCTAACTTTATTCCCCAGTAAATAGCAGACCCAGAACTTGACCCCAAGTCCAGCAGATGCCATCTGGGCCCCACCCCCTGTACCATGCTGTCTCCCTCTGTCACCTCCACAGTTCCATGATCATGGTGACAATTTTTTTTTTGAGATATGATTGAAATATAACATTATTATATTCGTTTCAGGTATACAACCTAATGATTCGATATTTATGTATATTATGAAATGATCAGCCCAATACATTTAACTGACATTCATTACCTCACATAGTTGTAAATTTTTTCTTGCGATGCCACTTTCAAATATACAGCACAGTATTGTTAACTTTAGTCCTCATGCTGTGCATTACACCCCCGTAACTGACTGACTTTACAACTGGACGTTTGTACATCAAATTTAAAAACAAACTAGGATATATTTTCTGAGAAGGAAGCGGGTCCATGAGGAAAGAAGGGGAGCAATACATTTTTTCCATCCTCACCCGAGGATGGGTTTATTGATTTTAGAGAGAGAGGAACGGAGAGAGGGAGAGAGGGGAAGGGAGAGAGAGAAACATCTATGTGAGAGAGAAACACTGATTGGTTGCCTCCCATACACTCCCAGACCAGGGATCGAACCCTCAACCTAGATATGTGCCCTGACTGGAATCGAACCCGCAACCCAACTCTTATGGTGTACGGGATGACACTCCAACCAACTGAGCCACGCAGCCAGGGCAGAGGTGGAGCAACACGTGAGGCTGACGCCTTGCAGGAAACAGCGCGCTGCTTGGGGGCCCCTGCACTGCCAGGGCCAAGCCCCCCAGGTAGAGTGCGGGTCCTCCCCCAGCCGGGGGCCGTCGCGGAGCCCACTCATCATAGCCCCCACCTCGGTCAACACAGTCCTTTTGCTCTTTCAAGATGCAGCTTCTCCCCCTGACCAGTTTGGCTCAGCAGTGAGAGTGTCGGCTCGTGGACCAAAGAATCGTGGGTTCATTTCAGGTCAAGGGCACGTAGCTTAGTTGCAGTTCGATCCCCGCCATGGTTGAGGTTGTTCGGGAGGGAACCAATCGATGTGTCTCTCTCACTTTGCTGTTTCTCTCTCTCTCTCCCTCTCCCTCCCGCCCACTCTATCTGAAAAATCAATGGGAAAATATCCTCCAAAAAAAACAATAAAAATAATTTTTTTAAAATGCAGTTTCCCCCCAAACAAAGTTGGGATCCCTCCCTAGTCTCGGCTCACTTAGAGGGAGTCCTGGGGCCCACAGGAGTGCCGGCGTCCCAGCCTTCCACGGTGCGGACATTAATGTCACACTCTCCTGGGCAGGATTAGAAGCCTCAGTGTGAAGACGGGCTAATGAGCACTGAGGGAAGTTTAAATGAAGTAGGGCTGTTACGAGGGTTGAATTAGTTAACCTTTATAAAGCACTTAACACTGCACACAGCAACTAAAAATGTGTGCTATGTGTTTGTTAAATAAGCAATAAAGTACCTAGAAAAAGATATTTGTTAAAAAGGTAAAAATCATGTGTCTGGGACAAATACAAAATGGAAACACATCAAAGATTTTATTGAATTCATTAATGAACTTTTAACCAGTTCAAAGGAGAATTCAAAGAAACACACATATATAGTGTTAAAAAATGATACTCACTGAGTAAATTTTGAAGATCTCATTGGCCTTATTCAGCGATTTATGAATCGGGCAGCACCCGATGGAGGAGCTGGTCAAAATGAAAGGCTTTCATAGGCCGACGGGAGCAGGAACAAGGAAGTTATACTCGGCAAAAGCAAACTAGTTATTGCAAAGTCACTTTCCTTTAGGGAATGGCAGAGGTTCATGAGGCCGTTATCTAAGCAGTGCTGATCAGGCAATGCCTGATTGGCTGGCGTACGGCTCTACTTCTGAAACAGCTGAAACTGCAATTAAGTCTAGTTTGGTGACATGGGGGTTAGCATAGGTGCCTCCACTTGGGGCCTCTTGTCTTGTTTTTAACGATAGGGAATAAGGGATGCCAAAATTCATTTCCTAATATTTGCAAACCAGGTCTTTTCACAAGGCCCTATTGATCTCTGCAAGTTCCTCCCTGCTCTTATTTGCTCTTAAAACCAAAGAAGACGAAGACTACACAAGAAGACAAATCCTAGAAGTCCAGAACAGCACTGAAGCTTTCTTGTGTATTTTTTTTTTTTATCCTCACCCGAGGACATTTTTTCTTTTTTTGTTCAGGTAGAGTGGGAGGGAGAGAGAGGAACAGAGAGAGAGAAAGAGAAACATCGATGTGAAAGGAACACATCGAGTGGCTGCCACCCGCACGACCGACCAGGGCCGGGGACAAACTGCAACCGAGGTACGCGCCCTCAGCGGAAACCGAACCCGGGTCTCTCTGGACCGCAGGCCGACGCTCTAACCGCTGAGCCAAACCGGCCAGGGCAGTGTGTATTTGAGTGAATGGTTTTGGCCTTCAGTACACAGCAGAGATTCTAAACTGCAAGCCAGTTGCCCTGAACCCACATCATCATCTCCTAAAATAACTTCCCAAATGACAGGCCTTGAGGGGGAGGTCCGGGCTGGGCCTGTGGGCAGGCAGAGGCTCTCCAAGTAAGAGGACTGCTCCAAGAACACGCAATGGCAGAAGGAAGGGGTGAGCAGGGAAATGGGACACTTGTCTCATGGCCATAACCTTTGGGAGATTATAGCTCCTGTTTCAAGAAAAGTAGGTACATCCATACCAGAGAACTAGCTTTAAAAAAAAAAAAAAGACAACTCCAGAGTGACCGTCTCTGCCTCCCGCAATGAACTGCCTTCTTTCCACTTTGCAGACAAATCCTGAGATTCCTACTGACCCCTTCTCACCAATGCCAGTCAGTCCCCGAGCCCTAGTCCTAAGAGATGGTTGACACAATGAAAAAAAAAAAAAAAAGTGCCTCACGTGCTTTGAAGCTTTAATAGAGCTTGAAAGTGTAGCTGATTTCCGCCTCTAGGAAAGTATAATGTTTAGCACTTTATGTGGTGATCAAACTTCCAGATGATCCCACGGTTGAAACACGGCCGTAGCCCCGACAAAACCCACCAGGAAGACCTGCCTTTCTCTGGCCAGTTCCCCGGGGTGGACGGAAGGTGAAAAGCATCCCCCCCGAATGCCGTGCACACAGACCCTTCCGGTGTGTGTTCTAGTCCTTACATTTTTATCAGACAAACAAGAGGCAGAATAGTGCTAATTAATGCGAAGTGTTTTTAAAATATTTATATTACCTACATAAACTCAAAACAAACCTATAAGGTTTAGCTTATTAGTTAACCACTGTTTGTTCCCACACTTATACTCTGGCTAAGTCAAAACAAGGAAGCTGTGATTAGCGGGGAGAGGGGCGGGAATCCAACTCCAAATCATGTGAAGGAGCTGTTGAAAGGTAAACTCTAAATGAAGTTGTTTCTGTATGAGTTAGGTGAAAGATGAAAAGAAACGAGTTATTTAACTATAGAAATGTTCTCTCTCAGATTGCACCCTCCCGCAATTATTCCCTGTTCTCCCCTAAACCCTCCAAAATCGACAGCTCATTGCCTGCTTTCTGCTGTCCCTGAAGCCAGCAGCACCCCTCCCCAGGACGCCCAGAAATAATCGGGGTGCTGGTGAGATCAAAGGCCGTAATATTCAGATTGAAAAACAGACCACGTGCCCAGAGAGCTGGAAGAACCCGTCACAACACAGCAGGTGTTTAAACAAAGCTCAGATGAACCAAAGTTTAAACTATGCCAACTTACATTTTGCAAAACTTGAGAGAGAAAATTGCAGCGATCCTGCAGAATATTTTCTCCCCTTTCAGAAACTGGGGCACTTTGTGATGCTGGGTGTGGAAAACCAGGCTACAGGGGGCCAAGGCGCCCCCTCCCCCCCATCCAGGGCAGAAAGGAGAGGAAAATAACGATGAGTCAGCACCGTGCAGTGAGGAGCTCAGCTTTGAGCCGGTCACCTGGACTCACATCCCTGGTAGTGTTGGGCACGTTCCTAAAGGGCTCTGCACACATTCTCTCAAAGAGAAATAATAGTACTGACTGTTGGGGTTGCTCTGATGACTTAATGAAATAGTGTGAGGGACGCAAACAGCAGCGAACCTATTTGTTGAAAAGGCCGTTTTACAAAGCAGCCGGTGATCACAGAGGCCGTTAGAATTTCTGAGACTGTGCGAATTTCCCAGAAGAATGGAAACAAAGCCTTTGAATTGCTTCAAAACGGCTTTTGACAGTAATAGAAGGTCTCAACCCGAGTTGTCTTACGTTTACATGAGGCTTAGGAGAGGATGGAGTCGAGGCTTAGGAGAGGGGAGGAGGGTTAGAAATCCTGTTGTTGACAACTCAGAGCACACGCAGTCTACCCTCCTCACACATGCACAGTCACACACGTACATGCCACACACGCGCACACACAGGTTCACACACCTTCATACATGCGCCCATATACACTCATAAGCACCCGTGCTCACAAACACAGATTCACACACATTCATACACATCCCCACACACACTCATAAACACACACCAGACTCACTCATAAACACTCAGAACACAAGTTCACATTACAGACATGTACCACACACGCGTACATACCCATGCACACTTGTACACTCCCGTAAATACTCACACACTCACCTGCTCCACACTCACGTCCAAACGGGATTGTAAGCAGCACATGCAGACTCAGTGTACGTCCCACAGAAACATTATACCTGGTGATCATGTTTCCAAGTCGCCACATGTTAAGCAATACCTTAACCTGTGAGGTAACATACCACATACTGGCAATTGAACTAAAGGAACGTACACTCTTGGTTTGCCTCTTTCTTTCAATGTTCTGAACTGAATCGTATTTGAAATTAAGTACTTTAAAACAAGGTGGTTGACGTGAACTCCCCGCCCCATGGGGAGAAGCCGGCTCCCTGTGGGCCATGCTCAGAGCCAGATTCGTGAACTTTCTGGGACCAGCACAGCAAGAGGCGGGAGAGCCCTGAGCCCAGAGGCCAGCACTCTGGGTGGGCCTGGGGGCCCTGAGGTCCACCACCCCCAGCTCCCAATTCCAGTCAACAGAAGGGAAGGTCTGAGCACTGTGCCAGGGTCTGTGCCAACCACTACACAGAATTGTCTCAACTAATCTGCACAATAAAATAATGAAGTACATATTTTACTCCCATTTTTCAGATAGAGAAACTGAGTCTCAGAGATTAGTGACTTTTTCAAAGTCAGTACAGTCGAGCCCTGCTAATCCCAAGCCTTTCACTGACTGCACATTGACGTCACCCTGGGGTCGTTAAAAATACTGATGCCTGGCTCCCCACACAGCAGCTCTGATTTCATTGGTCTCAGGTTCAGCCTAGGCACCTGCACTTTTTCAAAGTATCCCAGGCGACCCTAACCCATGGCGCAGATGGAGAGCCACCGTCTCAAGCAGTATTTCTCAGGGTGGTCCTCCCACCCACTGCCATCACCTGAGCTGATATAAAATGAGCATTTCAAGGCCTCGTCCAGGATCCAATATTGAGCATCGGTTTCATGCTGGCGAAACACACACGGCCCCGCGTAACTCACATGGCACTCCCGTGAGGTGTGAATTATTCCCATTTTACAGATAAGGACACTGAGCTCCATCTCACTGCATCCCAAAGAGGAAAGGTCACACTTTCTCTGGGGGCAGGGTTGGGGGAGTGAACAGCTGGTAGAAGCCAAAGTGGGCATCAGCGGAGCCCAGGGAAGAGGAAGGGGTACGGGGGTTCTGGAGCAGCAGGAGGGAAGAGGGAAGGCTGGGAGGAACGGGACCAGGTGGGCCTCAGAGTGTAGCCCGAGAAGAGTGCTGAAGGGTGTAAGGAGAGTTTTCCACAAGGAGGAATTTTGGGGGTGCCAGGTGAAGAGGGAGAAGACAGACATGGGAGGGACACTGAGGCTGAGCTGGGGTGAAGGGCCGCCCCAGGGTGCCAGCAGAGACGCGTCTGGCTGTCCTGGGTCTTGGCTAAGTACACGCTGGATCCACCTGTTCGCTCACTGGAATCACCGATGACGCTCTTTCCAGAAACACCAATTTCACTGAGAAGTCACCCGGATTTGGTGATGCCAGATGACCAACAACTGCCTCCAGAAACGTACTGCGGTTTCTGCGCACCAAAGGAGTGGCCCCCTGTGAACCGGAAGCACAGCACCTCCCTTGGGCCTGCCCGTGAGGTCTGAGTGCTGTCCCCGGCGATGCCCGGCTCCCCCATCAGGCATCCGTGTGGACCGTCGAGTCCAGCATGATGGGCAGAGTGACTGGGCTACCTAAGAAAGAAGGGGTGGTGTGGTCTCCCAGTCTCTCTGGGGCTCGTTAAGGAAAAGGAGAGGGCAGCTCTCCCTGCTCGATGAAAACACACGAAGCTTACGGGTGACGAACAAACAGTTAAAAGCAGCCCTGACTTTGAAATGTGACACTAAGCCCGTGTCTGGGCTGACACACCAAACAACAGTCATTGCCACACAGCCCACGGCCTGGGACAAGGTGACGCGGGAAAACCCCAAGCTAACTGAATGTATCATGGGCCAGTCAGGTCCTGCAGAAAGAGAAACGTAACAAAACACAACGAAAAAAACCACCAGCCAGGTGTTAAGAACAGGAGCCTAGGACTGTCCTGCTACCTTAGCAAGAGGATCAAGAATTTCAAAAACTGGACACCTGGCTTACTCTTCTCCTCTTTTCCTTTCTTTAAATTTTTGATCAGTCTTTTTTATTTCTTTATTTTAAGAAAGTCTAAT